GAGGGAGAATGAGCGAGAGAGAATGAGAGAGAGTGAGAGAGAAAGAACGAGAGAGAAAGAGAGCGAGAGAGAGAATGACAGAGAGAGAGAGAGAGAGAGAGAGAGAGAGAGAGAGAGAGAGAGAGAGAGACCCTAGGTAGGCACTTGGTGACCCAACCTCCTTGTTCCATCCAGTTCATGGATGCAATTTGGCAAAAGTTGCTTGTCTCTGGACCATTCTACAAACAGTAAATTGCTTTTTTTTTTTTTAATAAATAAATGCGCCGCTCACTTGAAGCCTCTTAGAAGAGTGGAACGAGCTGCTTTCCACCTGGGCGGAAACTGAGAGCGATCCTTTGGGCATCATCACTCATGTTTGCTGTAGCACTTTGTAGACAAGAGGTGAGACACTGGAAACGGAGGAGAATTTGCTGGAAAGCTTAACCCTCCCGTTCCTAAGCATTCCGCTGCAGTTATGGGAGACAAAAAGATCACACCAGGGAGATGTTTGGGTGACTTCAGATATTTCTTTATATATATATATATATATAAAATTGTTGGCTGTGAGTACGTAGGAACGGGGCATTTCCCAAGCTTTGTGGCTGGTCAATCCACAGGAAAAGAATGATGTAAGCCAACAGGAATCAAATAAATAGATTAATGTTAATAAAATCAAATAAAAAGGGAAGAAAACCGATGAAACTAGTGAGGTGAAAACTCAGGGCAGTTTGGAAGACTCTTTGACACACACACACACCCCCAAGTATCGCTTAATGAACCTGACTGGAACCAGCAGCTAAGTCGTCATTAAGTGACACATCACACATCTGCCTCGCTTAGTGACAGCAATTCTGGCAGTCCTGGTTGCGGCCCTGAAGCGAATCACCGCTTAAGTCGTTAAGCGAGACGTTCAACCTCCTGCCCGTTTCCCCACGGGAGGCCACGACCGTCATAAATGTGGGGACGGTCGCCCGGGGCTCAAATTGCAGTCCCGCGACTGTGGGGGACACCCTTGACGGTCGTAAGTGCGAGCAGGGGTTGTCAGCCACTTCATTCGGTGCCATTGTAACGTCAAAGAAGACACTAAACAAGTGGTCATTAAATGAGGACTTATCTGTACAGGGTCCTGACAGCGGAAAAATCACTGTCCAAGGTGCTGAATAAAAAAAGTTGTTATTTGAGGGGGTCCTTGGTGGTCTCTGAGCTTGCTGGTTTTTTTGCAGAGCAACAAGGACCCCTCATTTCAACCCTGAGCTGCAAATAATTCTCCTTTATTGGATTCTTATTTGCACAGTGTCGTTCACGCGGCCTTATGAACGCCAGCCTATTCCTCAAGAACAGTTGTGCCGCACGCAACTTCTCACTCCCACGTCACAAGGGGGAGTTATAATTAGACTGCGTTGGGTCCTTTTTTGCTCAGGCTTCTGGTCTAGCCACTCTTCTCCCCCCCCAAGAAACTGTTTTTTCTCCCAAGTTGCACCTCCTCTCCTTACTGGCGATATCCAGACGCGAAAAGGAATTGAAGCTGGCAAATAGGAAACCACTTCTTCTTCTGCCGTGTCCAGATCAAACGTTCCGCAGCTTCTTGGCTTTTTCATTGGCCAAAAATAAATCCTTGTTGGTACAGGTTTCTGGAGTTAGCCAACGTACAAGCAGATGGGCTGGGCTCTGCGTGTCTCCACATTCACACAACGTGTTGTTGTCCACTAAGAGTCTCCGCTTATTTACACTTAAGCACTTCAAATCTCAACCTACTCGGAGTCCTGCAAGTAACATAGGGGAGATCAGATCTCTCAGCCCAGGCTTCCTTTAATGTTATAATATAATAATAATAATTTTTATTTGCGGTCACAGACCAAAATGCAAGTGCAACAAAAGAAAACGCAAGAAAATATAATCAGAAACAATTAAACACCAGAAGCCTTGGCTAAAGGAAATTACAACGTTCTCCTCTAATAGTTACAGCTCTCAAAAGAAATTTAGAGACCTGAGTAGTAATATAGGAGGAGCCATCCCCTAAACAATATAAGACCAAATGACTAACATTAGAACCAGAGGGATCAATTCCAAGGAGAGACAGTAATTTAATTCTACCTGTGTTATACATAGGGCAGTATGATAAGACATGCTCCACAGTTTCAACTTCAGCCCTATTTCTTTTATGTTATTTCTTGCGCAAAGGTCTGCTTCCTCCATCTTTTAATTCACTTTTGTTCTAGCATTTAATTTCATGAAACGGCTACCCAGATGTATTTCATACGTAGTCCAAACCCATCCTAAAGGTTCAGACCCTCCAGGTGGAAACTCTGACTGGAGTTGGAAGCAGAGTTGAATTTGCCCAGCTCTTGAGAAGTGGGTGGATGTGTCATACAAGCGTGCATTCAACAAACCTACGTCCAGAAAGCAAAAGTGAGCTTGTAAAACTCATTCTTCAACTGTGAAGTTAATATCCATGCTCTACTGAAGTGACCAAATACAGCCGGCTTCATAATTGAAAACTTGCTGTCTGTTTTAAACGAAATGCCACGATTATCTCTATCGTCTCTCTGGCCACTTTCAGGAACGTGGGAACGTGAGTTTGCCAAGCGATGTCTAGGGGGGAAAACTGACAGCTTTTGGACCAGCTGGCCAGCCAGCGAAAGCACGCTCCAAATTTTACTGTCAATTCTTGGCAAGGGCTCAATATACTTTTTTTCTCAGATGTTTTTTTGGCAACCTTCTCTAAAACAAAGGTGACTTCTAGGAGGAGGGCATGGCATTGCAAGGGCAGTGCTGGCACTCTGTGGCCTGGTAGCTTAGATGGGTCCTTGAAGGAAATGATGATGATGATGATGATGATGATGATGATGATGATGATGATGATGGAGAAGAAGGAGAAGTGCTGGCACTCTGTGGCCTGGTAACTTAGATGGGTCCTTGAAGGAAATGATGATGATGATGATGATGATGATGATGATGATGATGATGATGATGATGGAGAAGGAGGAGGAGAAGGAGAAGGAGAAGGAGAAGGAGAAGGAGAAGGAGAAGGAGAAGGAGAAGGAGAAGGAGAAGAAGGAGAAGGAGAAGAAGAAGAAGAAGAAGAAGAAGAAGAAGAAAAGAAGAAGAAGAAGAAGAAGAAGAAGAAGAAGAAGAAGAAGAAGAAGAAGAAGAAGAAGAAGAAGAAGAAGAAGAAGAAGAAGAAGAAGAAGAAGAGGAAGAGGAAGAGGAAGAAGAAGAAGAAGAAGAAGAAGAAGAAGAAGAAGAAGAAGAAGAAGAAGAAGAAGAAGAAGAAGACAGCCATGTGGACAGCCATTTGTCTGAAATGGTATAGGGTTTCCTGCCTGAGCAGGGGGTTGGACTAAATGACCTTCAAGGTTCCTTCCAACTTTACTATGATGATGAAGAAGAAGAACAAGAAGAAGAACAAGTAGTAGTAGTAGTAGTAGTAGTAGTAGTAGTAGTAGAAGTGGCTGTCCAGTCTCTTCTTAAAAACGTCCAGTGTTGGAGCATTCACCGCTTCTGGAGGCACTGATGAATTGTTCTCACTGTCAGGAAATTTCTCCTTAGCTCTAGGTTGCTTCTCTCTTTGGTTCGTTTCCATATAGGTCCTTATGATTTACTCAGAGGGTGTACAGTGTACAAGTTCCAAACTCAGTTGTCCCAAAGGTGCTTTTTTTTTCAGGAGGCAACCGGACTCCCTTGTTTTGCCTTGAAGACGTTTCGCTTCTACATCCCAGAAGCTTCTTCAGTTCACGAAGTTTAGTCCTTCAGAACTTGGCTTAGAAGTGAAACATCTTCAAGGGGAAAAAAACGAAGAAAATCCAGCTGCCTCTTGGAAACGCACCTTTGGGATGCCTGACCCTTTGGCAACCTCTTTGTAGCTCAGATCCTAAAGCCACCAAGCTATCTTTGATGGCCTGCCAGTTCCTTCTTGAGGCATCTGCCTCGCCCACCTTCATCCTCCCAGGAAGAACGGACTTTGGGTAATCGGGTATCCCTGCAACAACGTCAGATTTAATATCTTTCATTAAGCTCTTACCAAGCCATTAGTTGGCGTCTGGTGGTGGAGAAAGCAAGTCTGTTTTTCCTCTCCTGTTTATCTGATGCCCGCCGATGTGCGTTTGATTATCTTTCCCTTTCTTTCTGTTTTTTTTTTTTTAATTGCTTTTCACATTCTGCGAGTCATCCCGCAGAATGAAGTTGGCTGCTGGCGTTTCTTTAAAAGCGGTGGAGGATGGAGAAGTGAGGAAGGAAGGAAGCCAGCCAATCGGAATGGGAACTTCCCGGAAACTTTGCCTGGCCTAGCTAGAAATGTGCAGGATCCCTGCCGCCAGTTGCAAGAAGCATCTTTTCACTGTCCTACTGCTAACACTATGGCTGGCTGGTTGAGTGATGCAATTGTCTGATTTCCTGGAGGGATGACGTAGTGGATAAGTCTGGATCATTTCTTGTGAAGTATGAATAATGCTACGGAGTATAAGTCTCCAGTCCTGTGGTCCTTCTTTTCTTCCAGATTTATAAATGGAGCATGCTTGCAGGCTTATAAACCATGCATGGGTTCCAGTTTCAAAGCAGATCTGGATTTTGTCCGGATTTTAAGGATGGATAGAAGAGAATATTTGTAACTCAGGGGATCCTGGGTGTTCTCTGAGCTTGGTGGTTTTCTTACAAACGTTTCATTACCCAGCTAGGTAACGTCATCAGTACTAGAAGTCCAGTTGCCTTTTGGAAAAGCACCTTTGAAACATCTAAAATCAGGGGTCTTCAAACTTGGCTTGTGGACTTCAACTCCCAGAATTCCTCAGCCAGGCACACTGGCTGAGGAATTCTGGGAGTTGAAGTCCACAAGTCATCAAAGGGCCAAGTTTGAAGACCCCTGATTTAGATGGTTTGGAAGAAATCTACCCTCCCTCTCATCTCTCCAGGACAATTGTTAATTGCCATTTTGGTGGAAGTAGCCAAAGAACTGGAGAGGACCTGGACGTTGGGACAAGGCATGTCATGTTAACATGGGTTAACATTTTCTCTTTGCTGTGCAGCTTATCTCCAGTGATGCTGATGGAGCCATTCAAAGGGCTGGCCGGTTCCGAGTGGAAAATGGCTCGCTGGATGAGGTGGGTGGAAACCTTCCTACATTGATGAAGAGTTGGCTTTGGGCATAAACGGGGTGGGCCGGTGTGGGAAAATATATCGTGCTTCTTCTTCTCACTGTTCATCTAACTCATCCCATCTCAGCCAGTTTTGGCTGATCTTCAAAACTAGAGGTGCATTTAAGTGGGGCCCTGAAACTCAAGGTTACAGGCTCAACAGGGTAGCTGGAGAAACATCTCAGAAGGCAACGGTGGACCATATCTGCCTTTCATTGCTACCTGTACCTTTTCTCTTGATGTCTTGCATGAGATGTTCCAGTTGGTCCTGCTCTGTGGAAGAGTCCTTCCAAGTTTCTCTTTCTATTTCAGAATGCCGATTACACACCTGGAACGTGGCACAGAACAGATGTGCATTTGGAGAACCCGGGATACCACACCAGGTGGTACTTCAAGTATTTTCTAGGAAAAGGTAGTGACGCTTTTTGGGGGTGTGGGCCTGCATGACACATCAGGGGTTTGGAAGCAGGGCTGAATAAGGAAAGGTGGTGCAGTGGTTAGAGTGCAGCATTGCAGGCAAACTCTGCCCACTGCCAGGAGTTCAATCCTGATGGGCTTGAGGTTGACTCAGCCTTCCATCCTTCCGAGGTTGGTAAAATGGGGACCCAGATTGTTGACTTTGTAAACCACCCAGAGAGTGCTGTAAAGCACTATGGGGCAATATATAAGTATAAGTGCTATTGCCATTCCTTCTCCTCCTTTTTTTCTCCTCCTCCTCCTCCTCCTCCTCCTCCTCCTCCTTCCCCTTCTTCTTCTCCATCGTCACGAACATCCTTTCTCCTCCTTGTCCTTCTCCTCCTCCTCCTTCTCCATTTCCTTCTCCTCCTCTTTCTACTTCTCCATCATCAACATCATCATCCGTAGTGGAGCAGTTGTTAGACTGCAGTATTGCAGGCAAACTCTGCCCACAGCTGGGAGTTCGATCCTGGTGGGGCTCAAGATTGACTCAGCCATCCTTCCGAGGTCGGTAAAACAAGGACTCAGATTGTTGGGGGCGAGATGCTGGCTCTGTAAACCGCTTAGAGAGGGTTGTAAAGCACTGGGAAGCGGTGTATAAGTCTAAGGGCTATTGCTATTTTTTGCTGCCATCATTCTTAGCCTCGTCTTTGCAGTCTCTGTTTCTTGACCTGGCCTACTCTGAAGGTGTGGCATTTAAGGCCATGGGGTCCTTTGCTGTTCCCTCAAATCTTCGCTCACAGCCTCAAGCCCCTTCTTAAATGTTGCTTCCAGATTGTAATTTCGAGACAGGAAGACATGTTAAATCCACAAAGTCAAAACTAGACTGACCTTTGGGCGTTAACTCTGTTGCATTTTAGTTCTAATTGAAAGGAGGATTCATTTTTTCATCCCTCTGTCCTGGCTGCAAGCTTCTTTCTTTAACATATTGCAAGCCATTGGGGGGGGAGGGAGAAACCCCTGAAGTTGGTAGGGCACGAGTTCGTCCATTCTGACGACTTACAGACTCCCTGCCTAACACGTTTTGCTCCGACTGATGAAGTTGCTTGAACGAGCAACGAAACAACTCAGATTAACCAGGTTAGGTCCAGTTTGCCACGATTCAACCTTTTAGTTACCTTTGGGCTGGATGACTGAGTCTTCATTAACATATTTCTTCGGGGGTCGCTCAAGAAATTGTGCAACCTTGCACTTTTTTGAGGGGGGGGGGAGAGAATCACCAATTCTAAACGTGGTGTCGTTTTTCCTTCCCAGTTCACCAGAACTACGTCGGCATGGATGCAGAGAAGAATCCCTTTTTCTTATCCGTCGTGCTCTCCGATCAAAACAATCAGCGTGTCCCTCAATACCGGGCGATCCTCTGGAGAAAAACAGTAAGCGGGCGGAGCCTCCCTGCACAGGGGATCCTCAATTTACAATCCTTCGTTTAGTGCCTGTTCCAAGTTACGACGGCACTGGAAAAAAAGGGACTTAGGACGCAGTTTTTTCACCCGTAGGACGGTTGCAGCGTCCTCGCGGTCACGTGATCGAAATTCAGACGCTTGGCAACTGGCTTGTACTTATGACGGTTGCTGCGTCTCTGCGGTCACGTGATCGAAATTCAGACGCTTGTCAAGTGTGGCTCCTATTTATGACGGTCGCAGCGTCCCCGGGGTCAGTGATCCCCTTTTGCGACCTCTGACAAGCAAAATCAGTGGGGAAGCCACTTATTTATTTATTTATTTATTTATTATTTAAATTTATATACCGCCTTATCTCCCTTACGGGACTCAGGGCGGTGAACAGGCAATAATAAAAATCACAATAAATATTGAATAAAAAGCCTGCTTTAAAATACCCCATATAAAACCCCTAGCAAAGCCCAATCGAAACTACGCCAGGAAACTTAACAACCAGGTTACTAATTTATCAGCTGGAGTGGTTCATTTAACAACTGGGGCGGGAAAGGTTGTAAAATGGGGCAAAACTCACTTAATGAATGTCTCACGTAACGACAGGAACGTTGGGCTTAATTGTGGCCATAAGCTGAGAACTATCTGTACATAGTCAAGAGGTGTGCATGTTATTCTTGATGCCCAATTCTATAAAATCTGTCCAGCTCTTCTTCTGGGAGAAACTGACATTCAGTCTGGCTTATTCAAGAGTTGCTTTTTCCTCTTTCTTTTTGCTCGGGAGAAAACCCTCAAGTTCTGTCTGATGTCTGACAGCCTCTGTGTTAACCCAATTCTTTTGCAGGGAACCCAGAAGATTTGCCTCCCGTATAGCCCTACGAAAACCTTGTCTGTAAAATCCATTTTAAGGTAAGCAGCAGCCACAAATTACCCTGCCGTTCCGTTGCCGTTTTTGCACGAACAAGATCTGAAAGTTGCACAGCGACCATAAAGATATTCTCTTCTAAATCCCTACCTTGCTTGCCTTTTCAGTGCCATGAACCTTGACAAATTTGAGAAAGGGCCCCGGGAAATCCTTCACCCGGAAATTCAAAAGGTATATTGATTAATTGATTGATTGATTGATTGATTTTGTTAAAGGTCAGCGAGAGACTACCCCGGGGTGGCTCACAACCGTTAAAAAGGGAGGAATGAAAAGAAACGTACCAAAGCAACGAAACCATATAGATAAACGATGGAATCAAACACACTGGGCAATTTTAAGACTTGTGGACTTCAACTCCCAGAATCCTGGATGCTGGCTGGGGAATTCTGGGAGTTGAAGTCCGCAAGTCTTAAAATCGCCAAGTTTGGAGACCCCTGGAATAATCAAGGAAGGTACAGTAATAAATACAGATTTAACCGTAAGCCACTCAGACTGCTTTGACTAGTGGGTAGTTTGTTATTTTTTTTAAAAAAAAGTTCTAAATAAATTGATCCGTTGTTTCTTACGAGGGAGGGGCAGAAGCCTCAACATTCCAGGGAATTAGACGGTGTAATTGTATTCCTTTATGCCACCTACGTGGCTGTCCATCTCAAATACATGACTCTGGAGGACTAACCATGGTTAAAACGAGATCAGAGCAAATCCCAAGTAATAAATAACATGTATAGAAGCCAATTTTTTTAAAAAAAACCAGCCAAAAACAATTGACACATCAAAAGAAAAATCAAGGAACTACAAGGAGGAAACTACACCTCTGTGAACAATGACAGGGCAAGCTATTGTATATAACAGTGAGTAAACCCCACTCCCTTCTAGCACTGATGATGTTACCTAGTTGGGTAATGAAACATCTGCAAGAAAACAAGCAAGCTCAGAGATTCTGTATATAAACTGTATATAAACATTTCAAAATGAATGAATATTAAAAATATTTCTCTCTCTCTCCCTTTCTCTCTCTCTCTCCCTTTCTCTCTCTCTCTCCTTTTCTCTCTCTCTCCCTCTCCCTCTCTCTCCCTCTCCCTCTCCCTCTCCCTCCCTATTCCTCTCCCTCCCTCCCTCTCTTTCTCTCTTTCTCTCTCTCTCTATTTCTCTGCTATCCAGGATTTATTGGTCCTTGAAGAGCAAGAGGTAATCTACAGGGCAATTTTTAAACTTTATTTTTATTTGCTTTTTAATATAATGACAAAAAAGGGGAAAGAAAACCACAAAGCTCATTATGACCAATATACATATTTTGTCAGAGAAAGTGGAAAAAAGCACATAGGAAGTGCTTTTTTAAAGAAGTGGGAAAAATACAACAAAGGGGGGGAAATAGTACATCATTTTAACAGTAAATAGTTACCATTCCATAGCTACTTATTTAATGCAAATAGCTAAGCATGTCTATCCTTTAATACATTAATATGACTACAAACTCACTTAACAACTGTCTCGCTTAGCAACAAAAATGTTGGGCTCAATTGTGCTCGTAAGTCAAGGACTACCTTTACCGGAAACTTTGGTATAATTTTGTTCACACGTGCTTTCTCTGTCTTGCAGGGCTCCGTTAATTTCAAGTTTGGAATTCTTTATGCCAAAGATGGACAGCTAACAGATGATGAGATGTTTAGCAATGGTAAGTGTGCGATTGTCAAGTGTAGAGAACCAGGAGCATTTGTTGTGTTCAAAGCACAACGCTGTCTATATACAAGAATCTGGTCAACTAGCGGTCAAAGCTAAGTTGGCACTAGATAAGGGTCAACGGAATTCACAGGACTTGGGGTCTCTTGTGGCGACGCAAAGATTCCAAACTGAGGGCACGTTTAACTCCGCCTTCCAGCTCAGCCTGCTCATCTCCTACACCGCCGTCTTCACTGGCCAATGGGGACATCAAGTCTCAGTAGAACAGTTGGTGCTGAGTTTAGGGTTTATGGGAACCATCTGCTTCAAATCTACACCTGTTCTGGTGTCCTTGAAGAGGTTTCAGGCTCTTACGGTCTTCAGTGGAATTGTAGAACATTCGTTTCTCCATCTAACCCACTCAAAAGTAACACCTCTCCCCCCCCTTACTCTAAAGGCAAGGTGAAACACAGAGGCACGCAGTTTCATCCTTCACAGTGGTCTTGCCAGCAGCAAAAAAAAAATAAATTAAATGCTTTTGCAGTAACTCTAATTTTCTTACAAATTTCATTGGAAAAAAAAAAATCTCTCCAGCAGCTGCTGGTACAGCTCCATCTTGTCTTCTGTTAACATGTTTGCCTGCATTTCAAAATTTGTTTTCTGTCTTCCAGCAGCAGCTAGAGATATTTCTGAATGTGCTTTCGGGAGATTCTGTGTTTATATGACTAAAAGGCGCTGGCAACTCTTCACGCTGCGGTTATGTTTGCAAAGCCAGCTTGACATGTTTGTCTGCTCGGCCGCCAGATTGATGCAAAACAAACCCTCATTTGCTTGGCTTCCTCATCCCCATCCCAACAGGCTTTCCTTTGTTCTCGTCACCCAATAATCCGTGTTTTCAGGAACAGAATTCAGCTTGGCTTTTGAATGGAGCAACGTTTTTTTTAAAAAAAAGATGCTGCTAAAAGCTTTTAAATCCATCTTCTGCCCTCTGCAGGTTTGGAACTGTTAGTACTCATCCGTTTATTTTTTCCTCTCTTTTTTGCAACCGTACTTGCTTTAACCATTTGGCTCTTTTGCCATGTGTCCTTTCTAAGTTTGGAGGGAATGCATCTCTTGAATCAAACTGAATCAATCCGTGGAATGGCTTGTCTTCAGAAGTTATGGGTGCTCCATCACTGGGGGGATTTGAAGAAGAGATTGGACAGCCATTTGTCTGGAATGGTATAGGGTCTCTTGCTTGAGAAGGGGGTTAGACTAGAAGACCTCCAAGGTTCCTTTTCTCTTCTCTTCTCTTCTCTTCTCTTCTCTTCTCTTCTCTTCTCTTCTCTTCTCTTCTCTTCCCTTCCCTTCCCTTCCCTTCCCTTCCAATCCTTTCCCTTCTCCTTCCCTCCTTCTCCTTCTCCTTCTCCTTCTCCTTCTCTTCTCTTCTCTTCTCTTCCCTTCCCTTCCATTCTTGAAGAACCACGGTTTCTTTTAGAATAGTATATGCCAGTTTAAGGTCACAGATTGTTGCTGGTTCTCTAACCATAAGTGTCACTTAGGTGAACAAGAATAAGTGTTTGCATGTTGATTTCCAGCTTATCTTTACGTCCAGCCTAAGGAAAAAGGCCAGAGGAGGGAATAAAGAACAAAACAAACAAACAAACCAGGAATCACCATCGACACAAACTGCAATGACATAGCTCCTCAGCAGAACAGGCAGGCGGACTGGTTGATCAAACCAGGATTAAAAGAAAGCTTAGCGTTCTGTTGCATAAGGGGGACCTCAAGGGTACCTTGGCACATACCATTTTTAGAAACTCAGAAGATCCACTGAAGAGACCAATCCTTCTGAAGGTTAGAGGAATTCTGGAATGAACGTTCTCCTCCAGGGCTGTGTCTTTAGAAAAGTTACAAGCTCTGGGCAAAAGTTACTGCTCACCTGGGTCCTATGCTGTTGTATTTCTTTCAGAATAAAAAATAACTGTTAGTTTTAAGGGAAACTTTACAAAAATATTGAAATGCCACTGAAAACCACTGAAGCAACTTTATGGCGGAGTGTCAGGTGCTACATTTTGAGGTTGGGATGGAGAAGATGATGGTCAACTTTTGAGATGAAGCAGAGTGGAGACACGCCTTTCGTCGTAATCTGAGATTGCTGTGTCTTTTTTTTTTGACACTCAAAGCTACCTTTTGGCCTTCTCAACGGCCTAAGGATGCGCTTACCATCTCCCTATCCTATCCCTTCCCTGCCCCCCATTTCTCTCCGATGTGTAGAGACCGGAAGTGAAAGTTTTCAGAGGTTGCTGAGTCTCTTGGGGGACACGGTGACTTTGAAGGGCTGGAACGGTTACCGAGGGGGACTGGACACCAAAAGTAAGTGGACCCTTGGTATTCTGTGTCCCTACTCAAGAGAAATGTTGTGAGGGGAGGGGGATACTGTTTGGCAAGGGGGAGGAAGATCTTTTGAGGACTCTATTCCAGAAACCCAACAAAGGCAGGATAAAGAGATTGGGTGTGTGTGTGTGTGTGTGTGTGTATTGTCCAATGCAAATCAACTTAAATTGATGGAATTGAGTTGAGCTTGACACTTCATGACCTTTAAATCGCTGGAATAAAACCGTTTAAAATAAGAATTAAGAGAATTTTGGAAGGATTCTGGGTACTGTAGTTTTATAGGCAGTAGCAAGTAGCCAATTTGCATCATAGACTGATAGCCGTGCCGGTCAATTTCCATTTTAGTCTTCTCTTTTTGTCCTGGAAGCATCTGCAGATAAGATTCTATCTCAATGTTTTCCAAAGTCGGCAACTTGAAGAGGTGAGGACTTCAACTCCCACAATTCTCTAGCCAGCGTTCTGGCTGGAGAATCCTGGGGATTGAAGTCCACATCTCTTAAAGTGGCCAACTTTGAAAAATAACACTAAACTAACCCACCCAAAATGTTATTATTTCTCTGTCTTTTTTTTTTTTTTTTGCAGATGACACAACAGGGATTTATTCCATCTATACCGTCTACCAAGGGCACGAAATCATGTTCCACGTCTCAACCATGCTTCCATACTCAAAAGAGAACAAACAGCAAGTGTGTGGCTTCCGGTATTGATTTCTCCTAGCGGGCTCTAAGCCATGACCGCATGGAAGGAAAATAGAGGCTGAACAGCATTGAAGCATGTTTAGGAGATCCAGCCTCGTTGTGATAACAGGGGCTGGCAAGATCAAGTGCAGTGAAGAACAGTTCAGTTGGTTAAATAATCTGAGCTTAGGCAAGGAAGGGTTAAGGGGAGAATCTTTGAATTGGAAGACAATAGAGTAGAGTAGAGTAGAGTAGAGTAGAGTAGAGTAGAGTAGAGTAGAGTAGAGTAGAGTAGAGTAGAGTAGAGTAGAATAGAATAGAATAGAATAGAAATTAGAATAGAAATTAGAAATTAGAATAGAACAGAATAGGAGATGGAGAACAGGTCTTCGCCTCCTCTATCTATCTGACACTAGAAACATACTCACCCTTATTTTCTCAGATACAGTATATTTAATTTTCTCCAATGTATTTAATCTCATAAAAATTTCCATCTAATAGAAGGGAATGTTTGTAGCACAGGGTTGAATTGAGGGATCCTTGATACTCTCTGAGCTTGTTTGTTTTCTTGCAGACGTTTTATTACCCAACAAGGTAACATCATCAGTGCAAGAAAAGAGTGGGGTAGGGAGAGAAGGAGGAGAAAGAGAAGGAGGAGAATGGAAGAATGGAGATGGAGGAGGAGGAGGAGGAGGATTGTGCAATCCTTGCTGCTCTCTGAGCTTGTTTTCTTGCAGACGTTTCATTACCCAACAAGGTAACATCATCAGTGCTAGAAGGGAGTAGGGTTTGCACTGATGACATTACCTAGCTGGGTAATGAAACGTCTGCAAATAAACAGTCAAGGCCGGAGAGCACCAAGGACCCCACACAGTCCCCTATATCCTAATTGCTCTTCTCTACTCTACTGAGACGCAGTTTCGTGATTTTGCCTCATGCTTAATAAACACAATGACAAAGCTATCGTTACGTGTTAGGTGGGAAGCACCGGAAGCGAAAACCAAGACTTCACATGGGCAGTTCGATCGAGGGAATGCCGATAGGGAATCCTACGCTGAGGTCTGACTCTTCTTTCGCAGGTGGAAAGGAAGAGGCACATCGGAAATGACATTGTCACCATCNGTGATTTTGCCTCATGCTTAATAAACACAATGACAAAGCTATCGTTACGTGTTAGGTGGGAAGCACCGGAAGCGAAAACCAAGACTTCACATGGGCAGTTCGATCGAGGGAATGCCGATAGGGAATCCTACGCTGAGGTCTGACTCTTCTTTCGCAGGTGGAAAGGAAGAGGCACATCGGAAATGACATTGTCACCATCGTGTTCCAGGAAGGGGAAGAAGCTTCACCAGCTTTCAAGCCGTCCATGATCCGTTCTCACTTTACACGTATCTTTCCCTGCAGTCCTTGACTTGTCACTCGTGTCTGCTATTTTCTCCTTTGAAACGGGTTCGGTTTCTAACTTTCCCTCCGAGGTTTAATGGGGTGCTGTCTGATGCTGGGGAAATCAGTAGTTCTAATGAGTATAAAGATTAATTGCAAGCTTAAGCGGTCTACAAGAATCTGGGCTACTAACAGTCAAGGGAAATGAGCGGGAAATCAGAGAGACATTTAAGATGGACTTAGATCTCTTGCAGGCACACGGACTCATGACTGATGACGCATTTGACCCCTCCCTCCGTCTCAGCCTGATCACCTCCTACAACGAAAGTCCAGCCATCCATATCAAGAATCCTCCTTGCCCTTATAACCTTATAATTCTTTGACGAGATCAAACCACCTTTGGAGAAGCGGAAGAGTTTAAGGAGATCCTTTAACCAAGAAGGGGTTTCTTGGCATTACGGGTGGAACATCATAACTGGAATTCCAACGACTCTCGAGCGGGCTTCCAAACCTGGAAACTGAAATTTAGTTAAATTGCTTCCAAATGGGTTTGCTTGTACATTTGGGGACTTAGCAGGACCGAGGCGGCTACATCCCGGCTATCTTGTGTTTTTTACATTTGTGATCATGATCAGCTTGGCTGCCGTCGGAGTGTAGTTTGGTGCCCGTGTTGAAAATTTCACTGGACTGCTGAACTGGATCTTTCATTTCGGCCATGATTTGCTGAGGTGGGAGGGGAAATTATGATTCCCCGGGCTTACTAACTGGAGATTGGTATCCTTAACTTAACCCTGCAGATATCTTTGCCTTAGTGCGATACAACAAACAAAGCGATAGCTACAGGTGAGTCTGGTCCATCTACTCCTTCCTCTACAGCTCACTTATTGAGCCCAAACTTTCTGCCGCTCAATGAGACGTTTGTTAAGTGAGCTTTGCTCTGTTTTTAACAACGTTCCTTGCCACCGTTGTTAAGTGAATCCCTGCAGGGGTTAAGCGAGTCCACAAGATGGTTAAATGAATAATTCTACGTCCCAAATGATCAGATTTTCATTCTCTCTTTCTCTCCTTCCTTCGTAGGCTGAAAATCTTTTCTGAAGAAAGCGTCCCTCTTTTTGGACCCCCGCTTCCTTCCCCGCCCGTGTTTACCGACCACCAGGAGTTCAGGGATTTCCTTCTGGTGAAATGTAAATATTAAACATTCCTCCTCTGCCGTCTTAAGCTTAATCTTGGCATCGAGATGCTTCCCTGAAATTGCCCTGCAAAGCCACAAAGCCAGGCACAATCCGTCCAGCTTTTTGGCACGGTTATCATCAGAGGAGAAGGATAATCCCCATAGTAAATAGTTGGCCGGACAAAATATATGCATATATTCATCATCAGTAATCTTGTAGAATACAGTGGAGGCAGCAAGAATATATTTCAAGGACTCTGTTTTTCAAGGAGGATATTGTTTTTATTACTCTTTGCATGTTATGCACTGCTTTGAATAGGAGAGAATGAGGGATCCTTGGTGCTCCCTGAACATGGTGGGTTTTCTTGCAGATGTTTCATGACCTAAACTAGGTAACACCATCAGTGCTAGAAGAGAGTGGGGTTTGTGGAGAGGGGGGGGGAGGAGAAGGAGGAAGAGGAAGAGGAGGAGGAGGAGGAGGAGGAGGAGGAGGAAGAAGAAGAAGAAGAAGAAGAAGAAGAAGAAGAAGAAGAAGAAGAAGAAGAAGAAGAAGAAGAAGAAGAAGAAGAAGAAGAAGAAGAAGAAGAAGAAGAAGAAGAAGTCTGTAAGATCCTTAGTGCTCTCTGAACTTGGTGATTTTCTTGCAGACATTTCATGACCAAACTAGGGAATATCATCAGTACTAGAAGGGTGTGGGGTTTGTGGAGAGGAGGAGGACTATGAGGTCCTTGGTGCTCTCTGAGCTGGGTGGTTTTCCTGCAGACGTTTCATGAACCAAACTAGAGAACATCATCAGTGCTAGAAGCGAGTGGAGCTTGCAGGGAGGAAGAGGAGGAAGAGGAGGAGGACTGTGGGGTCCTTGGTGCTCTCTGAGCTGGGTTGTTTTCTTGCAGACGTTTCATGAACCAAACTAGGTGACATCATCAGTGCTAGCACTGATTATATTACCTAGTTTGGGTAAAGAAACACCTTCAAGAAAACAACCCAGCTCAGACAGCACCAAGGACCTCTCATTCTCGTCTATTCGAAGCAGTACATATGTGCAAAGAGTAATAAAAACAATGTCTGAAGCCCCCCTTGGAAAATAGCCCTTTAAATATATTCTTGCTGCCTCTCATTTCAACCCAGAGCTACAAAGATTCTCCTTTATTGATAGAAGAGAACATTTGAAGCTCAGGGTTGAACTGTGGGGTCCTCTCTGTGCTTTTCTTGCAGACGTTTCATGACCCAGCTAGGTAACATCACCAGTGCTAGAAGAGAGTGGAGTTTCTCCTCTGTTTCTTTGCACTTGTCACTTGTACGTAAACAGAGAGCAAACTCATTCCCTTCTAGCATTGAAAGGCTTGCCTCCAGAAGTTGCAGGCGCTCCATCACTGGAGGTTTTTAAGAAGAGACTGGACAGCCCTTTGCCTGGAATGGTATAGGGGCTCCTGTTTGAGCAGGGGGTTGGACTAGAAGACCTCCAAGATCCCTCCAATGCTATTATTCTGTTAGTGGAACCGCTTGCCTCCAGAAGTTGTGGGTGCTCCATTGCTGGAGCTTTTAAAGAAGAGATTGGACAACCACTTGTCTGGAATGGTATATAGGATTTCCTGCCTGGACAGCGGGCTGGACTAGAAGACCTCCAAGATCCCTTCCAACTCTGCTATCCTCTTTTGTGCAGTGATCAACGGGGAGAAAGCCACCTTGGAAACACCCACCTTTGCTCAGAAGCGGCAACGAACCCTTGACATGTTAATCCGCTCCTTATACCAGGATCTCATGCCTGACATGCACAAGGTAAGCCCTCCCCTGTCCGGATGCGGCCCAGCCTCCTGCTTTAAATCTCATCTCAGAATCCTGTAGTCTTTCTTGAGAGGTCAACCTCTTTCTTCAACCTCCGGCCCTGGCGCTTGGTTGTGTTTGTTTCTAGAACATGCTTAACAGGAGATCCTTTAGCGACGTTTTGCCCGAGTCTCCCAAATCAGCCCGGAAGAAAGAAGAGGCCCGGCAGGCAGAATTTGTCCGGCTTGGCCAGGTACGTGTTTATAGGTGAGCAGGTGGTGGTGGGTTTTTATCAGGGGGAGGAAGAGGAGGAGATGTTTGGGGAAAGCTGGAGAACATCTGGAGATGTTTCTTCCAAGGGGGGACACGATAGCAGTGCTCCAATATTTGAAGGGATGTCCCAAAGACTAGGAGGGGGTCAACCTCTTCTCCAAAGCCCCTGAAGGCAGGACAAGAAGCAACGGATGGAAACCCATCAAGGAGAGAAGAATTGAGGAGAAATTTCCTCAGTTAACCAGTGGAACTGCTTGCCTCCAGAAGTTGTGGGTGCTCCAACGCTGGAGGCTTTTAAGAAGAAACTGGACAACTATTTGTCTAAAATGGTGTAGGGTTTCCTACGTGAGGTTGAATTCGAAGAATTAGTAGACAAGCTAAATTATACTTTATTGCAATTCTACCTTAACAGAATATTATTATTATTATTATTATTATTTCTCCCTTTGAAGGCCCTCAAACTGAAGACCATTGTGAGGGGAGACGCCCCAACTATTTTAGCCACTACAAGCCTTTGTAAGAAAGAGGTGAGTGAATCATTGGGGGGGTGAAAAGCTTTTGCAAGGAGGAAGACCGTTGTCTTCAAAGAAGATCAGCCTGTTTGTGGTACAAACCCACTGGATCCTTTGCACAGTTCAAAGGAATGCCACAAAAACGTTGTTGCTCTTAACAAACCAACGTCCCTTTTTTCATTTTTCATTTGAGAAATTTTGGGCGATGGGGACACGGGACACGGGTGGTGAGGATGCAATTCTAAAGCAATTAAGGACACCTTAATTTCCAAGGTGTCCTTTCTCTTTCTCTTTCTCTCTCCCTCTCTCTGTCTCTTTCTCTTCTGTTTCTGTTTCTCTCTCTCTCTATCTATCTGTTTTTATCTCTTTCTCTTTCTGTCTCTCTTTCTGTCTCTCTGTCTCTCTTTGTCTGTCTCTTTCTCTTTCTGTCTCTGTGTCTTTCTGTTTGTGTGTGTCTCTCTCTGTCATTCCGCTTTCTCTGTCTCTCCGTCTCTCTGTCTCTATCTCTATTTCTCTGTCTCTCTTTATGTCTCTTTCTCTCTCTGCCTCTCTTTCTTTCTACCTCTCTGTCTCCCTCTCTTTGTCTGTTTCTCTCTTTCTCTTTCTGTCTCTTTCTGTGTCTCTCTCTCTGTCATTCTGCTTTCTCTGTCTCTTCGTCTCTCTGTCTCTATCTCTCTCTTTCTCTTTCTTTCTCTCTGTCTCTCTTTATGTCTCTTTCTCTCTCTCTCTCTCTCTCTGTCTCTCCCCCCCCCCCCATCAACTCACCATCCATCATTGTCTTCTTCTGCAGCCCTGGGAATCCCAATGCTTCTGCAGCAATTTCCCGCATGAGGTCATTTGTGCCGATTCCTGGGGACAGTCCCTGCTGGTCTCAACGGATGTTGGCGTCCTTCTCCTAGACGGTGAGTAGACCATACCACCGTTGTGTGGAAGTCTGTACTTTTGATTCCTCCTCATGGCAAAACTGGTGGATTTTAGCTAAATTTCCTCTTTCGAGATGCCATGGAGAGCGCCATCTTCCCAGGCAGGTTTTTCATTTTTAAGCAAGAGCGATGCTTTGCTTTCGGTCCAGTTCCTGTAAATATGGGTGTCAGTTTTTGGCACAAACCCCAGGTAGAAATCTAACAGAGCTACTGTAGCATCCTTCTGCTTCATGGCTTTAAAAAAAAAAGGAAAAAAAAAGAAATTAGGGACCTTTTGCTATAGAAAAGACAATCACGTTCTGAAATGGTTGTGGGTTGTTGTTTTTTTCTTTGTGTAGGTGTCATTTAATTAGATTGTCCACAATACCATACAAACCACATGCTTAAATGCTCCCTGAACGTGGTTGTTTCCTTATAGATGTTTCGTGACCCAACTAAGCAGCATCTTCAGGGTTAGAAGCAAAGCCCACTCATTCCCTTCTGTCACTGAAGCTGCTACCTAGTTGGGCAATGAAACGTCTGCAAGAGAACCACAAAGCTCAGAGAACACACCAAGGAACCCACACACCCTGTTGTTGCGTAGCTATTCCAGAGGTTGAATGCTTTGCCATCTTCCCTTTCCAGATGGGCAGCCTCCCATCCCAGTGTTCGATAAAACCTTGCAGATCAAACAGATGCACGTACTTGAAACGTTGGACCTTCTAATTACTAGAGCAGACAAAGGTAAGAAAAACCACTGAGCCATTTGGGAGAACAATATTCCTCAACGTCGTAAAAGAGAGCTAAGGAACGGAGACTCAAAAGCGCTTTTTTTCCAAAAGGCAACTGGACTTTGTTTTGTTTTTTCCCCCTTGAATACATCTCACTTCTCACTGAAGAAGCTCTGACTGGATTATGGGGAAGGGAAGGATCTATATTCCTTGCAGAATCCTGCATCCAGTTTTGGTCACCACGATGTAAAAAAGATGTCGAGACTCTAGAAAGAGGACAGAGAAGAGCAACAAAGATGATTAGGGGACTGGAGGCTAAAACATATAAGGAGCGGTTGCTGGAATTGGGTCTGTCTAGTTTAACGAAGAGAAGGACGAGGGGGGACATGATAGTGGTCTTCCAATATCTCAGGGGCTGCCCCAAAGAAGAGGGAGTCAAGCTATTCTCCAAAGCACCTGAAAGCAGGACAAGAAGCGACGGATGGAAACTCATCAAGGAGAGAAGCAACCTAGAACTAAGGAGAAACTTCCTGACAGTGAGAACAATTAACCAGTGGGACAACCTGCCTCCAGAAGTGGTGAATGCTCCAACGCTGGAAGTTTTTAAGAAGAGACTGGACAGCCATTTGTCTGAAATGGGATAGGGTTTCCTGCCTGAGCAGGGGGTTGGACTAGATGACCTCCAAGGTCCCTTCCAACTTTATCATTATTATTAGCTGATCCTTTGCATTCTTGAAATCCGTGGTGCGGGAGTCTGAATGGATTTCCAGAAAGCATTGCAGACTGCAGGAACCATTTGGGCTTCAGTTTGAGAGGCAGACAACACAGATTCATCCCCAACAGGGAAGGGATCCAGGGCAGAAAACATCCTGCAGCCAAGAAGGCTCCACACCCATTTGCATCACTCAGGTGACCTTGAGGACACAGGTAAACCTCCAAGTGGCCTCAACGATTCTCTAAAATGAAGGCAAATGACCAGCAGTCTGCAGGGAGTATAAATCCTTCCATTCCCCACCCTCCAGTCAGAGCTGAAGAAGCTTCTTGGATGAGAAGCGAAACGTCTTCAAGGAAAAAACAAGAAAATCCAGTTGCCTCCTGAAAAAAAGCACCTTTGGGACTGTCTCTCCCCCTCCAGTTGGAGAACTTGAATATCTGGCTCGCACTAGGACATTTGGTTCTTACAATGTGCTTTGTGTCAGCTGTCCTCCTGCAGAGGAAAAGGTGGGACACCAATGAATTACGATGTTGATGGTCATGGAGAATCACGATGAGGTAGCTCTCTTGATGAGATGGTTTGCCCTTCCGTCCCGTAGGAAAGGAGGCACGGCTTCTGGTCTTCAGGCTGAACGCCCTGTGGAAAGGCATCGAAGCACGGCTAAGCAGGAGCAAAAGCGAATGTCGAGAAAACAAGCTGGAGAAAACAAAAGGTACTGCAGAAGTATCTGGTTAGAAACCAAACCACGATCCTGAATTAGTAGGCTTTGATCAAACGACTGGGCTATCTCTTTGAAGGGCTCCTACAAAGACGAGGGGGGTTAAACTATTTTCCAAAGCACTAAAAGGCAGGACGAGAAGCAACGGATGGAAACTAACCAAGGAGAGACTCGACCTAGAACTAAGGAGACATTTCCTGACAGTGAGAATAATTAACCAGTGGAACAGCTTGCCACCAGAAGTTGTGGGTGCTCCATCACTGGAGCTTTCAAAAAGAGACTGGACAACCATTTATCTGAAAGGATATAGGGTCTCCTGCCCAAGCAGGTCCCTTCCAACTCTCTTATTCTATGTTCTACGTTCAGTTTTGAGGAAGAAAGATCTGCATCTCACTGGGCTTCAGGAGAAAAGCTTAAGCTGAAAGTTTTTAGCTCCCCTCTCAGGTGTTTTTTTTTGCACCATGGTTTGTTTGGCAAATTCCATTCCTAATGCCTCTAACTTCCGTCCTCCAGGCTGCCATCTGTACGCCATCAACACCCACCACAGCAACGAACTGCGGATCATCGTCGCTATCCGAAACAAGCTCCTTCTTGTCACGCGGAAGTTCCGGCGGTGGGAGACTCTGAACGGTGCCCCCTTGGTGTCCCCCCAGTCAGAATCCCCCATAGAGGAGTTCCAGTACATCAGGGTAGGTTTGAGGTAAAGCATCAGCAGATGAGTCGCCGAGATAAAGCCGTGACAGAGGAGCGAGGGTGGTGTTTCTCAACCTTGACAGGCTCAAGTCACGTGGACTTCAACTCCCAGAATTCCCCAGCCAGCCTTGCTAAGTTCCACACATATTAAAGTTGCTGAGGTTGAGAAACAGCAAGCTAGGCTGATAGTCAACTCATGGCAGAGAATCTTTGCAGCTCAAGGATGAGTTGTGGGGTCCTTGAGGCTCTCCAAGCTTGGCGGCTTTCTTACAGACCATTTCATGACCCAACTAAGTAACATCATCGAAAGCAGAACCCACTCCTTTCTAGCACTGTTGATGTTACCTAATTGGGTCATGAAACGTCTGCAGGAAAACCACCAAACTCAAAGAGCATCAAGGATCCTGGTAGTCGTGGTAGAATTCCTCTTGTTTATTATTTGGTGCATATATTGCTCCCATCGATATCTGTTTTTGATTGATCACGATTTCTACCATGAAAATTCTTCCTTCTTCATCTGAGAAGACCTTTTTGGAATCCAGTGTCTCTTTAATGTGTAAAGCTTTTGATGTGCTGATGTAAAATAGAGTTTCCCAATTTTTGGATACTCCAGTAATTTATAATGTTGTTTTTTTATACATGTTTCTTGGAGGCAAATTATGTCCATTTTCAATTTTTGTAATCGTGTGGGAAAAAAATTTCCTTGATGGGTAGTTCAATCCATTTATATTCATTGAGAGAATTCTACTTTCCTCCTCCATCTTATTTACTTATATTTAGGTTTTATTCTCCTTGTGGTCCTTTTATGTCTCTGTTCTCTTGCCACTCCCTCTCCTTCTTGATCTGTATTCTTCTTCTTCTTCTTCTTCTTCTTCTTCTTCTTCTTCTTCTTCTTCTTCTTCTTCTTCTTCTTCTTCTTCTTCTTCTTCTTCTTCTTCTTCTTCTTCTTCTTCTTCTTCTTCTTCTTCTTCTTCTTCTTCTTCTTCTTCTTCTTCTTCTTCTTCTTCTTCTTCTTCTTCTTCTTCTTCTTCTTCTTCTTCTTCTTCGTGTAGCTGTCTCTTCTGTTACTAGCTCTTTCTGTTTTTTATATTCCCTATCCACTTGGGTTTCTTGTGTTTTTTCTTCAAAAAAACCCCCCAAAAAACCTTCTTTGGGAGAAATCAGGAGCGACATTTCCTAATCGGTAACACAAAGACTCTTTCTTCAGATGCAGAGAAATCTATCAATCCCTTGAAAAAGCCCAAAAAATTAACAGACAATAAGAATTCCAGTTAGGAGACATCCTTAACTTGTCTATGTTGTTCTTCACATTCAGCATTTTTTTCTTTTTGGTCTGTTCCTGCCGAATTTCACAGTTTCCTTTTTTGCGGCGTCTGATTTTTTTCGGTTGCAGGAAATCTGCTTGTCCGATCCTCCTGTGGTCATGACCTTGGTGGACGGCCCCACCGGTGAAAATGACAACCTGATCTGCGTGGCCTACCGACACCAGTTTGACCTGGTCAGCGAGAGCACGGGCGAGTGCTACCGAATGCACAACGTTGATGCGAGCAGGGTAGGTCCAATAGACAATTCAGTAGATCCATTCAGAATTAGGTTCCTGATGAGCCCATTGGAGGATCCTGTCTTGAGAACTGGATGGGAAAGAAATCGAGGTCCAGTGTATTTGGAATATTACATCGTTTTGATCATCACCATATAAAAAAGATGTTGAGACTCTGGAAAGAGTGCAGAGAAGAGCAAGAAAGATGATTAGGGGACTGGAGGCTAAAACATATGAAGGACGGTTGCAGGAATTGGGTGGGTCTAGTTTAATGAAAAGGAGGACTAAGGGTGACACGATAGCAGTCTTCCAATATGTGAGGGGCTGCCACAAAGATGAGGGGGTCAAGCTACTCTCCAAAGCGCCTGAAGGCAGGACAAGAAGCAACAAATGGAAACTAATCAAGGAGAGATTAGATAAATTTTTCCAACAATTAAAATCAGTGGAATGGCTTGCCTCCAGAGGTTGTGGGTGCTCCATCCCTGGAGGTTTTCAAAAAGAGACTGGACAGCCATTTGTCTGAAACGGTGTAGGGTTTCCTGCTTGGGCAGGGGGCGGGGTTGGACTAGAAGACCTCCAAGGTCCCTTCCAAGAAGCAACGGATGGAAACTAATCAAGGAGAGAACCAACCTAGAACTAAGGAGGAATTTCTTGACAGTGAGAACAATTAATCAGTGGAACAACTTGCCTTCAGAAGTAGTGGGTGTTCCAACACTGGAGGTTTTTTAAGAAGAAGAGATTGGACAACCCTTTGTCTGAAATGGCGTAGGGTCTCCTGCCTGAGCAGGGGGTTGGACTAGAAGACCTCCAAGGTCCCTTCCAACTCTGTTATTCTGTATTCCATTCTGTATTCTGACATTCAGGAAAGCTAAGACAAGGATCTGGTTCTAAAATGAAACAAAGAATTAATTGACACCCTGCCATCTTCCGTGGGTTCTTGGAAGGTTACTTGAAAATATAGTGGGGTAGAGTAGATCAGCTTGAGCGGGTACATGAAACCATCACCAGAGACAGTTCCCTAGAGCAGAGGTCCCCAACCTTTTGGGCACCAGGGACCGGTTCCGTGGAGAGAGGTTTTTCCCCGGACCGGAGGGTGCGTGGTTTTGTGTGCTGCTTGCATCCCACGGATGGGGCTTTGCTTGTTTGTGCGGACCGGTTGCTGGCATGCCACGGCCCGATACTGATCCACGGACCAGGGGTTGGGGACCCCTGCCCTAGTGAGTACAGCGTCTGGGAGCTAAAGGCGAGGGAGAAAGGAAATCCTTGAACTACGTTGCAGTCAGCTTGGCCTCCAGCCTGCCCACTATCCTTGCCCATTATCATTGCAGGTTAATTTTGTTGCAGCTATTGATGTGTATGAAGATGGCGAAGCTGCCCTGCTATTGTGCTACAACTGTAAGTACCGCCGTCTCCCCAGAAGCTCCGAAGAAACTGAGCCTTCTCTGGCGTCAACCCATCTCTCTTTCCCTTCCTTCTTTCTTTCTCTGTTGCAGATGTCTGCTATTACCGCAAAGTCTGCCCCTTTAACGGGGGTACAGCTCTGGTCCAACCCCTGGCATCAGACTACCACTTCAGCTGGAACCAGGTTCCTTATGCGATCGGTAAGTAAAGCTAAGCTGCAGGCATCCCGCAGGTGCTTTCCTTTCACGAGGCAATTGGAATTTTCTCATTTTCCTTGGAAGACGTTTCTCTTCTCATCTCAGGAGCTTCTTCAGCTCTGAGTGGACGGTGGTTAATGGAAACAACACAGGAGAACAAAGCCATCGGGACAAGAGTCGGCAGTCCATCTGCGTTTGAAAGACAAGGGCCATTCTTTGGAAGACAGCATAGTCCGCGTTCTGGACAGAGAGGACCGCTGGTTTGAAAGAGGGTTCAAAGAGGCCATCTAGGTCAAAATTGAACAGCCCTCTCTCAACAGAGGGGGAGGGATAGGACTATCGCCAGTCTACAACATAGTCTTTTCAACAGTTCCTAGAAGGTTCCACACCCATTTGCGCTATTCGGGTGACCCCGAGGGCACAGATAAACCTCCAAGTGGCCTTAATGCCTCTCAGAGGGAGTACTAATGACCAGATGACTGCAAGGAGTATAAATTCTTTCATTCTCCACCATCCAGTCAGAGCTGAAGAAGCTTCTGGGATGAGAAGCGAAACGTCTTCAAAGAAAAAAAAGAAAGAAAGAAAGACCAGTTGCCTCATGAAAAAGCATCTTTGGGATAACTATGACCTGGATGACTTGAGAATCTCCATAGACATTAAGCTGCGGGTGACTTTTAGCTGGGCGGTTGACCAGGAGCACATCTGGAGAGCTTGAGGAATGCCTGTGACCTTCTGGATCTGAACCGCTTCTGGGTTGTCTTCTTCATTGAGGACCTTGCTCTATCCCCAACCCTTTGTCTCCTGCAGTTTGCGCCTTTCCTTACATCTTGGCCTTCACGAACGACTCCATTGAGATCCGTTTGGTGGTCAACGGGAACCTTGTCCATACAGCGGTGGTCCCAGCCTTGCAGCTGGTGGCTTCAAGGGTAAGGAGAACGGGCGGGACCTGATCTGCCGCATCCAATCCCTTTCCCCCACCCAGACTGTTCTCACCATTTTGGGCTAGCTCTGAGATGTTTGAGCCCTCCATCCCCTCTTCTCCAGCCCCTCTTGATTGAGTGAGTGAATTAATGGACCCTTCATTAAATTTCCACCTTGCTTAAGTTGTACACCTCAAGGCACAATTCCCATTTGTGAGGTCTACTAAGGCTTGGGAACTTTGGAACCCTTTATCTCAAAAACGTTTGAGGCTTTGGAGGTTTTTAAGAAGAGATTGGACAACCGTTTGCCTGAAATGATAACAGGGTCTCCTGCACGAGCAGGAGGTCGGTCTAGAAGACCTCCAAGGCCCCTTCCAACTCTGTTCTTCTGTTTGTGTAGTGGACGAGAAGTTCATTTATTGTAAGTTTGAAGAGCCTCTTCTTTCTCAGCTCCAGTTGTTCCAATCCTTTCTAAAGATGAGAGACAAGGGCTGGGAGAAGCTACATTTGCTAACTCAACTCACTTCTCCTTCCAGTCAGATATCTACTTCCGAGCTGCCACGGCTGTGAGTGAGGTGTCTAACAGCAGTTCAAAGGAGACCAGCTCACCTGGGTCCCCTCAGACGCCTTCCGTTCAAGAAAATCTCATTTTCTCCCCTTCCGCAGCAGAAGGTAAGGAAGCTGGGCTGGTGGCCATCAAGCGGCCGATTGCTAAAGCACCGGTCCTTTCCGACCTCAATTCCAAATATTGGACTTTCTGCTTTACCCTATCATAGAGGTTAGGATGCCTCATGGAGGGAATCGGTGTTCTTCCTCAGAAATGTCTCTGGAGATGCTCAGTCCTCCAGGTCCAGGGTTGTCCCAAAGGTGCTTTTCCAGGAGGCAACTGGCCTCTCTTGTTTTTCTTTGAAGACCTTTCACTTCTCACCCAAGGAAGCTTCTTCGGGTCGGACTAAGAAGCTTCTTCAGCCAGAACGGAGGATGAGAAACGAAACGTCTTCAAGGACAAAAACCAAAGGAAGTCCAGTTGCCTCTTGAAAAAGCACCTTTGAACTGGAAGCTGCTTAGCATCTCCTGGAATCCCTGCAGTGTTTCAATCAATAACATGGTCGTTAAATGAGTCTGGCTTGACTTTGCTGGTCAGAAGGTCACAAAAGGGACCCCCTGGGATTCTGCAACCGTCGTAAATACGAGACAGTTGCCGAGCATCTGAATTTTGATCACGTGACCCTGGGGAGGCTGCAAGGGTCATAACTGTGAAAAATAGTCATAAGGGCTGTTGTAACTTCCGACGGTCGCTGAATGAACTAAATCGAGGACTACCTGCAATGTGAGCATGCGTGGAAGGCCAAGCTTCCAGAAATGCTTGATTGACCATCGGCTCTTTGGCCAGCCGTCTGAAGCCACGCTGGGTGTCAGCGTCGTTCTCTTCCTCCTTCCAGGTGAAGCTTTGTGCCGAAACATCTACAAAATCCCCCTCAGCAATCTGGTGGGAAGGAGCATCGAGCGCCCGCTGAAATCTCCCATGGTGCCCAAGGTCATCACCACCCCGACGTCGGCTGGCATGGCCCCCATGCCCGTCGCACCTTCCCTCTCCTTGTCGCGGATAGAGATCAAACAGATTGCCAGCAGAACCCGCAAGGAACTGCTTGGTAAAGTTGGCAACATTTTCTGGGTATCCTATGAAACAGGACTTTACAGACATGGGGCCACCAACTCTAAGGCCAGGGGAAAGTTCTTAGGTTGTATCGTCCAAATCAATCAATCAATCAATCAGAATAGAGTTGGAAGGGACCTTGGAGGTCTTCTAGTCCAACCGTCTGCTCAAGTAGGAGACCCTATACAATTTGAGACAAGTGGCTGTCCAGTCTCTTCTTAAAAACCTCCAGGGATGGAGCACCCACAACTTCTGAAGCACCCACTGGTTAATTGTCCTCACTGTCAGGAAGTTTCCCCTTAATTCCAGGTTGCTTTATTGTTTTTCTATTATTATTATTATTATTATTATTATTATTATTATTATTATTATTATTATTATTATTATTATTATTATTATTATTATTATTATTATTATTATTATTATTATTATTATTATTATTATTATTATTATTATTATTATTATTTCTGGCAATTATTACCCACCTTAAGAGAACTTTCCTGAAGTTAGAAAAGCAAGAAGGGAAACATCTCCCAAGGATTGACGGATATCCTTCCCTGGATTCTCTAGGCCTCTTAAATGATCCTTCTTCCAAGTCCGAAAGTGGTCCAAAGCAGAAGAAGCTTCCATCAAAACCGTCAGAGCCCAAACAGGGAACTCTACGGTCCTCGAGCAGTGACAGGTAAGCAACGACTGACACAAGAGAGAGTTGGAGTGAGGCTACAGGTGAGGCAATAGAATAGAATAGAATAGAATAGAATAGAATAGAATAGAATAGAATAGAATAGAATATGAAATGGAGAGAATAGAGTAAAGTAGAGTAGAGTAGAGTAGAGTAGAGTAGAGTGGAGTGGAGTGGAGTGGATGGAATGGAATGGAATGGAATGGAATGGAATAGAATAGAATAGAATAGAATAGAATAGAATAGAATAGAATAGAATAGAATAGAATAGAATAATAGAGTTGGAAGGGACCTTGGAGGTCTTCTTGTCCAACCGTGATGGCTGAACCTTTCTAAGATCACGGCCTCTTCTACAACCCACGTGGCCCTCTTCCCCTTTCTGCTTTCCTCTCCCCAGGCTGCTTGTGACCTCCTTCCAGAGCAGTTCCGAAGAGCCCCACTTCTCTACCGGCTCAGACGTTGACCCTGCCCCACTGGAGGAGGAAGAGGGCCAAGAGCCCAGCACTCTCTTCCAACTCGGGGCCTCCTTTGAGGAAGGTGCCATTGACTTGAAGTGAAGACAACCGGGACAATCAATCTTTGCACGCAACTCGCCCGTCCCTCCCTCCCATTCTCTGCCATTGACACCCCCTCCCGCCCCCGCCCCCCGTTTTGTACAGCTCTCTAAAACGGTATCCATCACAGCAAAAAAAAGTCCTAGTAATTTTAGAAAGGGGTCTCCACGCGCGATCCAAGAGGGGAACCGAAGGATCCAACTTTGGATGCCTTGAATTGTTTCAGTCGATGGATTGATCGAACGAGAGGGATCCAGCTCTGGAGGCCTGAATTGTTTCAGTGGATCGACTGGTCGAACGAGAGGCCAGGTGTGCGTGCGTGCGTGTGTGTGTGTATAGTCCTTTTGGTGATCAGAGGGCGGTCACCCAATTCTTTTGTGTTGTTGTTGTTGAAAAACAAAGCTCGGGTGAAGGATGCGACGAGTTTTAATCAGTGCGTTGATTAAACCTCTCTCTATTTTCACGTGGGATTTCAAGGAACGGGCTGCTTACAGTTCAGGGGTGGGGCGAGTCCTAAGTGCCCCCCCCTCCTTCATGGCAACAGCCAACAGTCATGTTCCCTTTTTCCATCAGTACTAGAGGACAGTTGTTGAGGATTGTCCCCAGATTAGGAGATTAGAATGGAAAGAATGGAGAATGGAAGTTTTCTGACGGACATTTCTCATGGTTGGGAACTAGAAGGAGAGTCCTGGGTCCATGCTGAAAATGGCCTCCATCTTCCTTGTCTGAAACAGGACCTGTGCAGGGCTCCTGCCTCCTCCAGGGTCTTAACTTATATTCTATATATATATATATTTTAATTACATAGCTGCAAAGAAACAGGGAGTCATTGCAATCTGCCTGCGAGGACAATCCTAGAGGCATCTGGTTTGTCACTGCAGGGCAAAGGCTGATGGACCCGAACATCACAATTCAAAGGTGTGTTGGTGTGTGGAGTTGCCGCCCCCCACACACACACAAATCCTGTGCATGACTTCCAAACTATGATGCGATCAGAAGGCAGAGATTATTAGCAACTACGGTTGAGTCATCTCTACTTAATCAACTGCTTTGGCACACTCGAAATTAGATTGTGCGTTCTTGAAATAGGTTTTTTTTTTGTCTGATCCGGGGGGAGGGGGGGATAAAAAGAAATCTGGAATTCTTTAAAAGGTGTGACAGAATGACAGAGTCGGAAGGGACCTGGGAGGTCTTCTAGTCCAACCCCCTGCTCAAACAGGAGATCCTATCCCTTTTTAGAACAATGGTGGTCCAATCTCTGCGTGAAAAACCTCCAGGGATGGAACACCCACAGCGTAACCCCAAATATATAAGTATTGTCCACATAACGATGGTTGCTTCTACTTGTTGAGGAACCTGATCAATTGAAAGAAAAAAATATTGCAGTTCTGTTAAACCATAAGAGTTTCCTCTTCGGTTCCCAACCAATAGACCTTTCTTAAGCCAAACATCTGTTCTTTCTCTTCCCGCCTCGTTTTCTCATTTTGATTCTTGGATAAATGTCTACCTCCCCCATTTCTGCCCGCTGGAAAGAAAAGCTTAGACATAAACAGCTGTCTGTTTATCTCTGGACGTCTCCGAAAAATAACTGCAAGCCTAAAGCCTTGTTCTCTTTGGATGAGTGACTTCTCCTAGCAAATGTGAATTGACTAGCCGAAGAGTTTAAACTTTAAGGTGACCACCCAGGTTAAGTGCTAGTGGGATCCATGAACCGGTTAATGAGTTCACGAGTTCAAAACAAAGTCAGAGACCTTGTAAAAGACACTGAAGCTACTTCCAACCTTGGTTAAACAGGTTTGGAGGTTTCAAAAAGATGGCAGCCTGTTTAACCGGAGGCAAGGTGGCACCGGAAACGTGCCCTGGCCGTCTCTTGGGAGGGAAATCTCTCTCTTAAGCCGTCTTTTTGTCTCAGCGATGTTTGCCCCTCCCCTAACCCATCCCCTTCGCCCTTCCTCACAATGGTAGTTTCTGCCCTGTGGTTTATTCAGACACCCTTGTCTCAATCATCCAGGTCCAGGTGCTTTTCCAAACTGGACTGTCTTGGCTTCTGCCTTGAAAAAACTCAATGGCTCTCAGAGGGAGTACTAACGACCAGGTGACTGCAAAGAATATAAATCCTTCCATTCCCCACCGTTCAGTTAGAAGCTTCTTGGATGAGAAGCAAAACGTCTTCAAGGGGGGAAAAAACCCCCAAGGAAGTCCAGTTTTGGAAAAGACACTTTTGCTTCAGACACCCTTTAATACCAGATCTCTATCTGAAGGATCAGTAGCCCTGCCCCAGGAGACATACACTGGCACTCCACAACTGTCTTCTGCTCCGATTCCAACATTTCCTTGCCAAGTTCATCAAGTTGACTCTGATTGGTCCTCCCTTGCACAAATAATCCTGCTCTGCTTGTTTATTTATTTATGTATGTATTTATTTATTTATTGCCCCCAATCAGAAAACCAAGCAATATTTTCAGATAACCCATGTCCTTCCAAGAACCAAACGGTTCGCCTTTGACCACGGAAGACGGCAGGATATCACTTTTTTTTCTCTCCGTTTTAGAACACCCGATCCTTGTCTTAGCTTTCCTGAATGTCAGAATACAGAATAACAAAGTTGGAAGGGACCTTAGAGGTCTTCTATCCAACCCCCTGCTCAGGCAGGAGACCCTACACCATTCCAGACAAACGGTTGTCCAATCTCTTCTTAAAAACCTCCAGTGTTGGAACACCCACTACTTCTGGAGGCAAGTTGTTCCACTGATTAATTGTTCTCACTGTCAAGAAATTCCTCCTTAGTGTCAGGTTGGTTCTCTCCTTGATTAGTTTCCATCCGTTGCTTCTTGTCCTGCCTTCAGGTGCTTTGGAGAATAGATTGACTCCCTCTTCTTTGGGGCAGCCCCTCCAATATTGGAAGACTGCTATCCTGTCTCCTGTAGTCCTTCTCTCCATTAAGCTAGACCTATCCAATTCCTGCAAGTGTCCTTCCTATGTTTTAACCTCCAGCCCCCTAATCATCGTTGTTGCTCTTCTCTGCGTCTTTCTAGAGACTCAACAATTGAGACTCCAGTTGTCAGCTTCCTTCCTTTCTTCCTGGCAGCATCTGTTCTGAGACTAGAACGAGGCAGGTCTAAGGAAGGGATTCCCACCACTGGGGGTGGTGATCTCCAGTTTGCAACCCTTCCTGGTGGATCTTCCATCCCACCTTCGATGTCCTACCTCTTTTGCCCACCAAGGTTCCATGATCCCAGCCCCCCCTCTACCTTTGCCTAATTGCCTTATGTTTTCCTCATTGGACAGAGCAGTTAATCCATCTCGGGCGGGATGGCTATATCGAGCAAACTTTTTGACTGTTTGGGGTTCCCAGGGGAGCCAGGCCTCTAAGCAGATAAAACCTTGCACTTTTGGCTGGTGAGAAAACCAGCCACTGAGCTTCTAGAGTTAATAGAAGTTGGCTTTGCAGGTTATACGGTGGAAAAAATAAGCATCAAATGTTTATTTTTCCCCCCCACCGTGTTCCTTGAAGGGCACAAGTCACGAGCTGATCGGTGCAGATCTTCGACCCTTTTCTTACATCTCACAAACACTGGTTCCCAAAAACCGTCAGCCTGCACAGCTAAATTAGAATCTGCCAATGAGTTCCAAATCAATTGCAGTTTCTAATCGACTGGTAGATTTAGCGGTGCTGAACAACACACACACATCTCCCCTTGCTGAAGGAGCCAGCTGGGTGTGTGTGTGTGTGTGATGGGAGTTGGAATACAGCCTGACCCTCAAAAAGGTCCCAGAGAGAAAGAAGCTGGGATGGGGGACAGAGGGAACGACGCACCAGCTCCAAAGGGTTGCCAAAATTTGGGCAGAAACAGACTCGGTGGCTTCCGACGTTCTGAATTTCTTTTGAATGTAGCATCACTTCGCGTTTCTTCCTTTTTTTTTTTAACACCTTTGTCTGCGGACAATGAAGTATGTGTTTGCTGAAGATGAGGCACTTGTCTTTCTACTTTGGTGAAAATTGTCCTCTCCCCCCACTTCTCTCTGCTATCACCTCTTTGATTCCAAAAGATTATTTTTTTTGTGTGGAAAAGCAGGGTGTAATCTTGTTGCTGCATAATTTCGTTGGGGCGGGGTGCGCTGGTGGTAAATTAGCCGAGTAATTCTTACGTATCCTTCCCGTTTGCTGATAGCTATGTTCTCTTCTGCTTGAGGGCTGTGCGCCCCTGACAGTTGTACAATCAACGGTCTTCCAGGTTGGTTAAGAAGATTTGAGTGAACCCATAGGGAGAGTTAGCAAACGTGGAGACACGGTTGTAACCATTTCAACTCTGCAAGAGAAGATACGAAGCTCGGAGTTGAACGGTGGGGTCCTCGGTGCTCTCTGAGCTGGGTGGTTTTCTTGCAGACCTTTCACGACCCAGCTAGGGAACATCCTCAGTGCAAACCCCACCCGCTTCTAGCACTGAAGATGTTGCCTAGCTGGGTCATGAAACGTCTGCAAGAAAACCACCCAGCTCAGAGAGCACCAAGGACTTCACAATTTCAGCTCTTCTTCGCTGTCTTCAATTTGTTTGTTTTCGTGCCTTTGAGTCAATCTCGACTCCTGGAAAATGTCTGGAGAAGTCCTGGCAGTTTTTTCGGCAAGATTTCAGAACTGATTTTTTACTCTTGTCTCTAACTTCCCAGGGCTGAGAGAGAGAGAGAGTAACTGGCCCAAAGTCACCCAGTTGGCTTCGTGCCTAAGGCAGTCTAGAACTCACGGTCTCCTGGTTTTCTAGCCTGATGCCTTAACCACTGCCCTAAACTAGGTCTCCATTGCAGCGACCGACTGCAAGTTTACCCAGCTTTTTACGCTTCAGAAAAAGAGGCACCCTTGTGATGTCCCCAGTTCAAATGCTGCCTTGAAGCTGAGTCTCTCAATGGAGAAAAAAAAAAAAGTAATTAATTGGGACCGGGCTAATCCTCCCCATACCGTTTTCATGGTAAAAATGGTGTTGCATTTGTGTGATATTTGTGCCCTCCCTTTTGAAATTGCGGCAATAGTAGAATTCGTCCATCCAGGACCGGATTTATTTATATTTTTTTTCCAAAAGGGAAACAAGGAACGTTTGAAATCCCGGAAACCCAACACAGAGGAAGGAAACTGATTCAATTTCTACTCTTTTTTTTTTCCCCTGAAAGGCAATGACTTTGCCAAAAAAAGCCGCCGGCCGTGGTTAATTTTGGTTTTCATTCCCCAGGGCGACTCTTTTGGCGTGGCGTGAAAGATGAAGCTTCTTAGGCGAAATTTTGCCTCTTTGCTCATCCAGACGCAAAATATGGACAACCAGGTTTTCTGCTGAAGGGAGACCAGGATTAAAATCTGCGGGGAGGTGTTTGTACTTGATTCAATGCTGAAGTTTATTTCCTATTTACCAAAGCAGATTTTCTGCTGGCCTCAGAGCTGCGTTTACAATGCGTACGGGACGGTTAATCGCTCCTAATTCCACTACGGAAAGAAAGTGCAATCAGGGTTGTGAGGTTGTTGTTTTTTTTTAAAAAAAACTATTACCTGTGCTTTGGTTTTTCACACACATAAATGGGGAGAGGGTGGAGGGAAAGGCGCGATCACCAGAACCTCCTGGTTCAAGGGAACATTTTTTTTCTTCCAGTTTAAACTTAAAAAAAGGGGCATAGAATCTATATTACATTTCCTACATTTTCCACTTTGCCTCCCAACAAACGGTCTTATTCTCCAACCACCAAACCAGGGTTAACTTTCTCTGCCTGGCCCCTGTTCAGGTTAACGAATCTCCTCTCCTATCAGTGCTGATCCAGGCTGGCTGGGGACACTGGGAGTTGTAATCTTAAGAGAGGGAGGGGCGGTTAAAGAGATAAAGGGGGGCTGATCCGCCTTTTGTTCCCTCTTGAGCGGAGGTCCTGGAAAGGCTTCGCAGACTTTGCCTGCCCGGTAGACCATCCACTGTTGCAAATTTTAAAAATAAAATAAAATACAAATTGAAAACGGGACCTAGCGAAATGAACCACCTTTGCGAGAAAACGTGGCAAAGGATTGCCTCTTGTCAAGAACACGGCCACAAATGTAGCGTTGACATTACACAACTGATCTGCTACGGCTTTGCACGTCTGTTCTGTTTGTGCCATTTGACTTGGTGTCTAAATTTTTCCATGTTTCCCTGTGGTATTCTGATGTCTCCAAAGGAAGAACTCCTTCTACTCCTTCTCCTCCTCCTCCTCTTCTTTCTCCTCTTTCTCCTTCCCTTCTCCTTCTCCTCCATCCCTCCTTCTCCCTTCCTCTTTGCTCCTTTCCTCCTCGTCCTCTTCCTCCTTTATTTTTCCTTTTTCTCCTTCTTCCCTTCCTCCCTCTTCCCTTCCTCCTCCCTCTAAGCTGGCGATGGGAGAGTGGCTGTTTTCTGCAAGGGTGACTTGCTAATATTTACAAAACACTCCTATCGCCAGACAGAAGGCACTCTGAAGCTGATGTATGTACAAAACCGTTTTGTCGTGGACACTGGTTGCTTGTTTCTCCTGTCCTCCCTTTTTTTTTTCTTTCTTTCCAAAGAGCGCCCTCGAGCATCGTCCGGCATGAGTTAGGTGTGACTGCCCTGTGCCCCCTCCCCAGGCGACAGATGGAGAAGGAAGACGGATTGGGCCATGTCCGTCCCACCTTTCCCCCCTACCACCACTCTCCCTGTTCTTGCTTCCAAGCACGATGTGACTTCCACCTGGAATTTGGTGCTCTTATTTACGGGTGGGGCCTGGGGGAGGAATCCCGGGCGGACGGTCCAAGTGGTTTAGAGGGGACCACCGATCCGTTGGCAGGAAGGAATGGGAGAATCCAGGCGACGTTTACCGCTTAAATCCATCCTCTCCCTAAATCTCACTGTGACGCACACGAAACGCCGGTTGATTTCGCCAAGAGGATCCCACGCCGGATAACTTTAGGAAATGTAACTTAAAAGTGGCTAGGAAGATCCTCCGTCAACCGGGTCACAGTTGTATCAAAAGTGTGTGGGGGGGGGGGAGGTTATTTTTGAAAAGGCAACTGGACTGATTTTTATTTTATTTTATTTTTTCCAGGAAAAAGAAGACGTTTCACTTCCTATTCTGGAAGCTTGATCGGTTCTATCGGATGGTGTGGGAGATGGAAGGACGGTCATTGAGATTAGTTGGGGTGTGTGTCTGTGTGGTGGGGGGAAATGATAGGTTCTGATAGGATTGTGTATGTGTGGGGTGGTGAGAACGAAAAGACTGTGCTTCCTTGGCATTCAACTGCTCTTAGGGGACCCTGAGGTCACAGATAACACCCCACGTCTCTCTGCTAGATTTGTAGCTTGGGGGGGGGGGTCCCTGGTGGTCTCTGAGCTTGGTTTTTTTTTCTTGCAGGCGTTTCATGACCCCGCTAGGTAACATCATCAGTGCAAAACCCCACCCCCTTCTAGCACTGATGACGCTACCTAGCTGGGTCATGAAACGTCTGCTAGAAAAGCTCAGAGAACAGCCAAGAATCTCACCATTTCAACTCGGGGAGAGAGAGAGAGAGAGAAGCAGGAAGAGGAGAAGAAAGAGGAGGACTGTGGGATCCTTGGTGCTCTCTGGGCTGAGTGGTTTTCTTGCAGACGTTTCATCACCCAACTAGGTAACATCATCAGTGCTAGAAGGGAGTGGGGATTGCAAAGAGGAGGAGGAGGAGGAGGAGGAGGAGGAGGAGGAGGAGGACTGTGGGGTCCTTGGTGCTCTCTGGGCTGGGTGGTTTTCTTGCAGACCTTTCATCACCCAACTAGGTAACATCATCAGTGCTAGAAGGGAGTGGGGTTTGTGGAGAAGGGAGGAGGAGGAGGACAGTGGGGTCCTTGGTGCTCTCTGGGCTGGGTGGTTTTCTTGCAGACCTTTCATTACCCAACTAGGTAACATCATCGGTGCTAGAAGGGGTTTGCACTGATTAATTGCACCCACCAATTAATCTCAACTGTCGATAATTGTCCTTCCATCTCCCACACCATACAACTGATGAAGCTTCTAGGATAGGAAGCAAAATGTCTTCTTTTTCCTCAAAAAAAAGAAGTCCAGTTGCCTTTTCAAAGATATATTTAAAAAACCCCACATTTGATACAAGTTTAAGGGGGGGTTTGGAACGGCCTCTTCCCCATGCCCTGCTCCACGGATCGATCAGAGAATTAAGTCTCTTGAAAAATTTTTGGGTTTAAACTCCCTTTCTCGACGCCTCTGGGATCGTGGCTTTATTTCACACCTAACTTTTTTTTTTGCTGGATCGTGCCCCTTTTGACTGTTAACTCTAGTGGGATTTTGTACTTTTCAATGATTCTGTGCTGTCAGCCTGTGGCTTGCCCTCCTGTGAGTCTCAAAAGTTTAAATTATACCACCAAGTGTCTTAAACTTAATTGTATTTGCCATTGTTTTTTCAATGCTACAAGTAATAATTGTATTATTTCCCCCTTTTTTTGTTCCTGTGTGTTTTCAAAGCTTGTTAAAACAAAACAAAACAGAGAGAGAGAGAGAGAGAGAGAGAGAGAGAGAGAGAGAGAGAGAGAGAGAGAGAAGCGCGTGAGAGAGAATCATACTTTGGATATAATGGCAAACATATTTGTTCTGAAAGTTCCATAGACCACAGCTGTAAAATCAACTGTTGGGGTTTTTTTTTTCCTTCTTCCTTGATATGTAATAAATATTTATGACATTTGATAATGCTATATTCATCATTGGTTTGTTCCCCTGGATTGCGCTTATAATTCACGAGCACCCCGAATGGGATGTTCTTGCTTCTCCCTGGACTTCTGAATATTGAACAGGGGAGGAAAAATACACCCTTCGCCTTTTGTGAACACCCACACCCACACCCACACGTCCTGATCCCTCTTTCCTAGGGCCACATTTGATCATTTATCCTCACCATCTGAATTTCCGGGGCAACTTAAGGTGGTCAGAAGAAAGCTCGGGATCAAATTCCAGTCTGTGTCATGGCCCCATTGGATGCGAACAAACCACATCCAGATGTCAAAAGAGTTCAATTGGCTGTTTTATTGCTCTGATTGCACCTAGATAAAACTACATGAGGTTCAACAGCATTCAAAGGAGTCAGACTTCGCCCTCTTGTGGCTATGCAGAGATTCCAGGCTAGTTCCCTGCTTGACGCCTCCCCCTGGCTTCGGAAGTCTTTCTCTTGACATCCATGTTGCTTAAATGGATTTTAGTTTAAGACTAACCCAAGCAGGAAACCTTAAAAACCTTCAGTGATGGAGCAACCATGTTTTCTGAAGGCAAGCTGTTGCACTGGTTGATTGTCCTCACTGTCAGGAAGTTTCTCCTTAATTCCAGGTTGTTTCTCTCTTTTGATCAGTTTCCAACCATTGTTTCTGGTCCTGCCTTCTAGTGCTTTGGAGAATAATTTTATTCCCTTTCTACCTTCTTTCCTTGAAGCTATCGAACAGAGTTTTCCCTTCTCCCAATCCTGCTTGTTCTATTTCTTTACCAAACAGTCAAGGGACGGTTTTGTTTAGGTAACGCAAGTTACACCACCCTCCTCTCTGTTGCCAGCTCCATAGAAGTAGAAACGGCTCAGTTATACCGTAGCGGTTTTAACAGTCATTTATTGAAGCACCTTCAAAAGCAGCATCCTCGTTTACAATGTCAAAAGGCAAAAATAAACATTTACATTAGGAAATCTGAGCACCCCGGGCCTGCAGATCAGAAAACATAGCACCCTTTTTATTAGTAATCCTCCGGGTCCTTCCTACCATGAGGAAGAAGCCGAAACTGGAACAGGCCAAGCTCCTGGGATAAACGGAAAGAACGGAAGGTTTTTGGCCTTGCCAACCAATGTCTTCAAACCACCAATTGAGTGAAATCCACGATGGGGGGGGGGAATAAAATCTTGCGTGCAAAAGTTTTAACGCGGTCCGCGGAAATGTGCCTCTATCTCTTCTAGGCTTTTCCCTTTGGTTTCCGGAACACAGAAAAGGGTGAAGACCACGTTGAGCAAGCAGGTGGACGAGAATAGCCAGAAGGTCCCATAAGGAGTTAGGAGGACCTAGAGAAGAGAGAAGGAAGTTGAATCAATGTTGGGGCAAGGCCTGGAATTCAGATAAGTGCTTAGCCTGTATCACCCGGCACAGCGGGGATAATGCTCGGCTGATTTTATTTCTTAATCGTATTTAGATAGCTGTCCACCTTCTGAGAAATGGCGCACCACAGTTGGAGAAAGTTCATAGAAGATGGTCACCTCAAAAAAAAAAAAAAAAGACCCTCAGACACCACAATGGGTCTCTTTCCACACCACATTCCAGAAACCTATTGTTCTTAGACATCTGCACCTTTTTTTAAAAAAAAAAATGCAGTGTGCTTTGTGTTTGTGTCTTGAGACAAAGAAGAGAGGAGCTACATTTTGGAGCATGGATAACACCCACCCCTAGACCTAGAGACTGCAGTCCTGAATCACAGGGAGATGCCACGATGGAAGACATGGTGCCGGATCATTTTATAATCATAATAAAGTTGGAAGGGACCTTGGAGGTCATCTAGTCCAACCCCCTGCTCAGGCAGGAAACCCTATCCCATTTCAGAAAAATGGCTGTCCAGTCTCTTCTTAAAAACTTCCAGTGTTGGAGCATTCACCACTTCTGAAGGCAGGTTGTTCCACTGGTTAATTGTTCTAACTGTCAGGAAGTTTCTCCTTAGTTCTAGATTGCTTCTCTCCTTGATTAGTTTCCATCCGTTGCTTCTTGTCCTGCCTTCAGCTGCTTTGGAGAATAGCTTGACTCCCTCTTCTCTGTGGCAGCCCCTCAAATACTGGAAGACTGCTATCCTGTCCCCCCTCGTCCTTCTGTTCGTTAAACTAGACATATCCAATTCCATCAACCGTTCCTTATATGCTTTAGCCTCCAGTCCCCTGATCATCTTTGTTGCTCTTCTCTGCACTCTTTCTAGAGTCTCAACATCTTTTTTACATCGTGGTGACCAAAACTGGATGCCGTATTCCAAGTGTGGCCTTACCAAGGCCTTGTAAAGTGGTATCAACACTTCACGTGATCTTGATTCTATCCCTCTGTTAATGCAGCCTAGCACTGTGTTGGCTTTTTTTTTGGCAGCTGCAGCACACGGCGGGCTCATATCTAAGTGAGTGTTTTACTTACTATTGTGCCTTTATTATTTTTATCAATAACTTTCCAGGGGGGCTGGAATTGGCTGAGCCTTTACAAAGCCGCTCCATCTTTCTCTGGGTGTTCCCTTCCCCAAAAGAGATCAAAACCATCATGAGACGTCCCAAGATCAAAGCCAGACAGATCAAGCAAAGGACCTTCTCCCCAGCCAATGACGTTTATCCCTCTTCTCCTGCAGAGTCCAGCTGGACTTCCGTGGCTTATGCGGAGGTTCCCTTTGCTTACCGTGAGGTTGTGGAACTCCTTGGTGACCAGGAAAGCCATGAGCCAATTGGTGAGGACGCAGGCCCCGCTGGCTATCCCTCGGGCTCTCAGGGGGAAGATTTCAGACATCACCAGCCAGGGGATGGGGCCCCAGCCCAAGGCAAAACCTGTGGGTGGCAGAACAGCAAAAGGAGACGGCGTTTGTCCTGGATTAAATCAGGCAACGGAAAGAGATCGCCCTACTTCGCAATGGATGTGAGGATGGGTGCGACCTGGAGCTGGAGGAACATCTGAGGTCTTTATGAAGACTCCAAGCCTATCAAAGCTTCCTCCACTGAGGATGTAGCAGAGGCCTCCAGAATTCCAGAGGGATCTTCTGCTCTCAAGATCACAACTAAGACTGTGGCCATCTCTGCCAATTGGCTCAAGTAAGCACCTTGCCCAGTCCACCGCCCACTTTGTTTTGCTGTCTGTGGACCTGTCCTCTCCACACCTCTTCCCAGGAGGAGTTGCAGGCTGAAGCAGCCATGGCAGTAGGGGCTAAAATGGATATGGAAGGATCTTGATGGGCCTGGCGTGAAAATCTGCAGCTTTCCTATCTGGATGATTTCACTATACTGTACATGTCGTGTGTTTATTTAGTCTTAAAGTACATGGACTGCAACAGTGGAAGAGGAATGTTGACGTGGAGGAAAGGGGCCCATCAAGGCAAGGGAAGCCCCACAGGTTAGCAGATCGCTTCTTCCCAATACATCCATCAACCTATTTTCCAAAGCACCTGAAGGCAGGACAAGAAGCAACAGATGGAAACTAACCAAGGAGAGAAGCCATTTGGAAGTAAGGAGAAATTTCCTGACAGTTAGAACAGTTAATCAGTGGAACAGCTTGCCTCCAGAAGCTGTGAATGCTCCAACACTGGAAGTTTTTAAGAAGAGTGGACAGCCATTTGTTTGAAGTGGTATAGGTTCTCCTGCTTGAGCAGGGGGTTGGACTAGAAGATCTCCAAGCTCCCTTCCAATTCTGCTATTCCCTTACAGTTCAGAAATCGCTAACAGCCGAGAATCTAAAGCTTCTGAAAATCTTCCAGGATCAACCCCCTCCCCAATAATTCTAGATGATGGGAATCCACCTTTTTTTTTTCTAGAGCCAGCACTTCTGCAAGACCCTCACTCACCCATAATGAAGAAACTCATGCTCAGCACTGCTAACCAGGCCAGGGGGTGTCCTTCCTCCACAAGGGGGGTGTCCAGGGGGCTCTTCAGCAACTGGAGATGGGAAGAATTGCTGGGGCTGGGGCCGGTGATTCTGAAATAGATCCCAAACACCGTCGCGCTGGCAGTCATGATAACTCCTGGGGAGGGGAGAGGGAGAGAGACAAGAGCGTTCGGAACGTTAACTCTTACTTTTTTGGGGGGGGGACTCCCAAAACTTGCCTGAACTTAGGAAAGAGAGCTGGTCTTTCCATCATCCTACCTGAGATGATGAGAAGAATTTTTCGCCCGGTTTTATCAATAATGAGAGCGGCCATTGCTGTGAAGAAGACTTGGATAGAGCCAACAATGACGGTAGCGGCACTACTGTTCTGGAAGACACACAAGGAACATGGAAGCCTTTTTTGACCCGTTAGGAAAAGGACGGGTGGTCCTCGACTTGCAACTTAATGACGCATGTCGGAAGAAGAGTTACAGAGAAAAAAGGAAGGACAGTGTTCCAATATCTCAGGGGCGGCCCCAAAGAAGAGGGAGTCAAGCTATTCTCCAAAGCGCCCGAAGGCAGGACAAGGAGCAACGGATGGAAACTAACCAAGGAGAGAAGCAACCTGGAACTAAGGAGAAACTTCCTGACAGTGAGGACAATTAATCAATGTTGCCTCTGGAAGTTGTGGGTGCTCCATCACTTTTGGAAGAAAAGACTGGACAGTCACTTGTCTGGAAAGAGTATAAGGTCTCCTGCTTGAGCAGGGGGTTGGACTAGAAGACCTCTGAGGTCCCTTCGAGATTCTATTCTATTCTATCCATTTCATATTCTATTCTATTCTATCCATTTCATATTCTATTCTATTCTATTCTATTCTATCCATTTCATATTCTATTCTATCCATTTCATATTCTATTCTATTCCATTCCATTCCATTCTCTATTCTATTCCATTTTCTATTCTATCCATTTTCTATTCTATTCTATTCTATTCTATTCTATTCTATTCTATTCTATTCTATTCTACTCTGTTCTGATTGACTACCTGTGTGATTGATTTGGTCAATACAATCAAGGGGTGTAGTTCCACCGCTCCCAAATAAAAATCTAGCAGATCCGGGAGGAGATCCGCTGGGGGTAGATCAGGATGAACAACCCACTGTTGACCTCCTCACCTTAAAGTTGGCATCTTCAAAGATGGTTTCTGCATAAAACATCAAGGCGTTGATCCCGGACGCTTGCTGGAAGAACATCATCGCCACTCCGATCAGGAAGGGCTTGTAGATGGCAGGGTTCTTGAACTCAGCAAGGCTCATGTCTTGCTACAAAGGGAAATGCAGACTTACAACAATTCATTTAGTGACCGTTTCAAATGTACAACGGCACGGAAGGAAGAGACTTGGCGACTGTTTTTCACACTCAAGACCCTCGCAGCATCCCCACGGTTACGATTTACATTCCGACGCTGGACAACCGACTCACATTTATGACGGTCGCAGCATCCTCTCTGTGTGTGTGTGTGTGTGTGTGTGACATGGTCCCCTTTGGCGACCTTTTGACACGCAAAGCCCAGGGGGGAAAGTCGGATTCACTTAATGACGGTGTTACTAATTTAAGCACCGCAGCGATTCAATTAACAACTGCATCAAGGAAGGTCGTCCAAGGGGGCAAAATTCACTTAACAACAGAAATTTCGGACTCCAATCGTGCTCGTAAGCCGAGGACTATCTGTATTTTACTTTTGCTTGGTTTAAAATTCCTTTTTATTTGTTGTTTTTTTGTTTGTGCGCCACCTAGAGTAGCCCCATGGCGAGACAGGCAGAAAATAAATGTAATCAATTGTTGTTGTTGTTGTTATTATTATTATTATTATTTCGGAGAGCATGTCCAGAGCTGGCATCTCAACCCATTTAGGGGAAGGGCTGCGATTAAGGAAGGCTTAAGCCGTCTCTGGGTTCTCTTTCACCTGTTCGCCGGCGTTGGCTTCGATCTCCCGGCATTCCCACTCGTGATCCACCAGTGGGCCCCGCAGGAATTGCAAAGCGGCGATGGCTTCCGGCTGCCGATTCTGGCGTAGCAGGAAGCGAGGCGTTTCGGGCATGAAAGCCATGAGGACCAGCAGGAAACAGGGAGGGATACAGCACAGCACCGCCAGCCAGCGCCACGCCAGCGCCGTGCCTGGGGGGGACAGGAGGAGGACAGCTGTTCTCAGGGCTTGTAAGGAAAGGAGGGAGTCGGGGAACAGAACGGCCGCTGTGTGATCCCACGGCTTGGATCTGGTCCTTTGCCTTTTGAGAACTCAGAAAGAGGCCGGTGGAGATGCCACCAGGGTCCTTCTCCGAGGTGGCACTCATCCCAAAGGTGATGCCCAGCCTAGGTTATCTTTTAAAAACATGTCTTTATCTAGGCTGGCTTTTTCTCCCTGCCCTGTTGTTCATCCGTTATATTCTGAGTTAAGATTTAGCCCTGCTTGCTTTGGGTTTTCAGGATGAGAATTACGTAACAGATGTCCTATTATCCACTATTTTTTCTTTAAGCTCCTTCCTCCCTCCCTTCCTTTCTCTCTCCTTCGTTCCTTCCTCCCTCCCTCTCATCTTTCTTTGTCTTTCTTTTTCTCCTTCATTCCTTTTCTTCCTCACAATTCCTTCCTACCCTTCCTTTCTCTTTCCTTCCTTCCTTTTTTTTTCTCTCTTCTTTTCCATCCTTCCTTCTTTCCTCCCTTCCTCATCTATCTCTCCTTCGTTCCTTCTTTCCTTCCTTCCTCACTCCATCTTTTTTCTTTTTTTCTTTCTCCTTCATTACTTCTCTTCCCCACAATTACTTCCTGCCCTCTTTTTTCTTTCTCTCTCTCTATATATATCTTTCTCTTTTTCTTTCTTTCTTTCCTTTCTTTTCTTTCTCTCCCTCTGTATCTCTTTCTCTATTTCTTTCTTTCTTTCTTTCTTTCTTTGTCTTTTCCTCTGTCTCTTTCTCTTTCTTTCTTTTCTTTTCCATCCTCCCTCCCTCCCTCCCTCTTCTTTCCTTCTTCACGATTCCTTCCGGGGAGCATGGGACAAAACTCCCTCCCTCCAGCCGAGTCCGGATTTAACAATGCCTCTTAAGCCAGAAATGGACCTGCTAGGTAAGCTCCCAGGATGCCTGTCACTACCATCAGCTGAACGCACGAGCCCAGGACTCCTCGGATCTTGGAGTGAGACGTTTCGGATATATAGATCTAAGACATAAGCCAGAAAGGTTAAATTAACAACAGAAGCTGTAATGGAGAAGACCGGGCAGGTCACAGAATCTTACCGTCACCCTCGTCTTCCAATTAAAACTGGCCATGAGAAGGAAGGAAAACGAGTTCAAAGACAGGGATTGATTGACTTTAACTCAGTGGTTCTCAACCTTTTTAATGCCGCGACCCCCAACCGGTCGTAAGTCGAGGACTAAACCGGTCATAAGTCGAGGACTAAACCGGTCGTAAGTCGAGGACTAAACCGGTCGTAAGTCGAGGACTACCCAACCAGTCGTAAGTCGAGGACTTTCCCTGCCCGGGAGCGCCGTGCATGCGTGGTTCCGCCCCCTGCACCGGCCGAGGCGTAGCTGGCAAGCGGCAGAGACGGAGCAGGCCGACCACCAGCTGGCCCAGCTCAAGGGAGGTAAGGCACCAGCCAGAAAAGGGGGAAAAAATGGCGGACAGCCTTGCTTGGCGACCCCCGTGAAATGGTCGATCGACCCCAAATGGGGTCCCGACCCATAGGTTGAGAACCGCTGCTTTAACTCAACATGATGTAGCTTAATTTGAGAATTCGTGCATCCCAGGCAGGTGGATGCAGAAATGACTTCTGCTTGCTTGCACCCTCTCAGCAGCTACTGCTGACTTAGCCATAGGAATTTTCTCTTATCCTGTGCGGAATCACACTGGCAAAAGATTGACACGTTTCCCCGCTTACCGGAACTACCAAGGATGTGACGCCACTGGCCAAGCCACACAGCAGCCGTCCCAGGTAAAGCATCCAGATGTTTTGGGCCGCGACGATGATCAAGAAACCAAACACATATGGGATCGTGCAGAGCATCAGGCTAAGTTTCCGGCCAATTTTGTCCACCACGTATCCTCCGAGGGTCCCTCCAGCTGCAGCCCCCAGCGTGACCACAGACTGCAGAAAGAAGGGAAGAAAAAGCCATATGAGAAAAGCAGGGGAATGAAACAGTGGACGCCAAATACAGAGGTGGCTAGTCCTCTCTGAGGTTGGTTGTTTTCTTGAGCGCTTCGTTACACAAACTAGGCGACATCATCAGTGCTAGAAGGGAGAGAGAAAACCCCATTCCTTTCAAGCACTGATAATGTTAACTAGTTGGGTCATGAAATGTCTGCAAGGAAACCACCAAGCTCAGACAGCATCAAGGACCCCACAGTCCTTTCCTCCTTTTCCTCCTCCCACAAACCCCACTCCCTTCTAGCACTGATGATGTTACCTAGTTGGGTCATGAAACGTCTGCAAGAGAACCACCAAGCTCAGAGAGCATCAAGGACCCCCCCCATTTCAACCCTGACCTACAAATATTCTCCTTTATTGGTACTCAAAATTCACCCTGAATGTCTTCTAGGCAAATGCTACAGTTTCACTATAAAGCCTTCAATAGCAGCTTTGTTTCATTTATCTAAGGTCTGGTGATGCTCAGAAAGGTGGCACGTAAGCCGCCAGGATGATAACGACAATCTCAAAATATCTGCAACGCCACTTAAGCAATCATTGGCATCGACAAAATCAGCATCGGTCAATTGCAAAAGGCAGCTTTACTTGGAACAGCTTACAACCTGCGCCAATAGTTTTAACGCCAACAAACCACAATGTCTGCCTCTCCCAGGTCCTGGGGAAGTTTCAGTAACTGCCATCTCCAGTGGCTGATTGGCCCACAAGATCTCGCGGCAACTCACTCCAAACCATGATGCTTGTGTGTCATCTAGTCTCAATTCTGGGTCGTTGCTTCGCTTCAAACTAGGGATAGCTGGCGAGCTGTACCCCAGGACGAAGCCGAAACTTAACGGACCTAAGACAGCGGCAAAGGTAGCCAAGTAGAGATTGCGGTTTTGGACTTTGCTGTAAGAGAAGGAAGGATGAAACAAATCGGCGATAAATTATCAGTTTGGGGCCAGCCTCATTTCAGAAACAAAAATACATACACACCTCAAATAAATCTCCAGCTGAGAGGGTCTTCCAGCAGCATGCAATTCTGTCTCTGGGTTAGGATCCAAAAGGGGTCTGTATTCCTCGGAAGTCATTCTCTTTGGCTGGGCCCCAAAGAAGACGCTTAATGATAGGACAGCTTGAAAATATAAGGGGAAAGAAAACAAGAGAAAAAGCACAATAAGCAGAAAGATGCAAATCATATGACTTCAAACCACTAGCTTCCTCAGTTATAAACTGCAGACTCGGTAGTTAAAGGGAGGCAAAGTCTGCAGTGATCCATTTTAATTTTCCACCAGACAAAGATGCACAGCCTCCCTCCATTTTTTGCTTTGCTCAAAACGGGGATATTTGCAGTGGTTTTATATCTGGAATAGCCAGATAATTCTCTTCCCTGATCTCTTTCTTGCTCCTCTGTCTTCTCTGTCGGAGCAACCAGGAAAGCAAGAATGAAACAAAGAGGAAATTACGTCCCCAAGGATGACAACAGCCTGAAGAAATCTATTTTTTAAAAAATCCTCCAGAGCTTCAGAATTTAGAGGTACACACAGCCAATTCATGTCTTCACATGACACAAGCTCAGGTTAGCCTTGTCCAGTATGACACCCCGCCCCTCCATCCAAACAACGGATTTCCTTTTCAACCGTCACACCAAACTGGTTCTCTGAACTGGCTTGAAACTGACTAGACCAGGGGTAGGCAACCTTGGCTCTTTTATGACTCATGGACTTCAACTCCCAGAATTCCTGAGTCAGCTATGCTGACTCAGGAATTCTGGGAGTTGAAGTCTACGAGTCATAAAAGAGCCAAGGTTGCCTACCTCTGGACTAGACCTTACTCATTTTCACAACTAAGGCTTTTGCCCACCCAATCAACTCTAGCTCAAACCAGTTTTTCTAACGTTGGGGGGAAAAAGCCATCTCATCTATATCTAAGCTGAAGTCATTTGGGGGAGGCAGCTTTTCACTGTAATTTCTGACATGGGTGCCAAGAGGTTGCCATTCTGTAGCCCCCGGGTTTTTCTGCTCAGAGAGCGTCAGAGAAGGTGGGCTAGAGAGACCCTTCTGGAAAAAACACATTAATCTTGGAAATAAGGCGTTGATCTCCTCCTTCCCCTTGTTCTCCCCCTTCTGGGGATCAACTGCCACACCCCAGGCGTCCAAGAGGGAGGGGATGCTGGGCGTTGTAAACACAGGCAATGGCTGGCTTCTCCAGTTGCAACACCCTCCCTTCTCCACCCTCTGCCAGGGACCTGAATTCCCCAGCCAGCTGGGCTGAAAAGCGAATTGCCATGCTGATGCTTGCAGAGGGCGCCAGGTTGGGGAAGGACCCAGGGAGGGAGCTGGGCAAAGCCGCTTCCAAAGGGGCAAGTTTGATTTCCCAGCCGGGGTGAGGCTGACCCGGAAATCCTACTCACCTCCTTTATCCTCCGCCTTTCTAATTCCGGCCCCCGCGAGCAGCGCTTCCCCGCCGACCCCAAACAATGCAATGCAGGTTTGCAAGGTGGAACCAAAGACCCTCGCGGTCCGGTTTCCGAGCGGGGCCGGAAAGCGACGGACCGGACGTGTGTCGACGTTAAAGCGGAAGCGGCATCCGGTCCTGCTTCTCTCTCTCTCTTTCTCGAGGGAAGAAAAGCGGGCTTATCGGCCTCGACTCGAGGGGAGATAAACAAGAAGCTTCGCCATTTTCAATTTATTTATTTATTCCTTATTTTAACCCCCATCTCCCGGAGCCTGGCTTGTCCGGACGAAACTCCACTACTACCAAAGCCGAGGCGGAAAGGACGCTCTGCCCTCTCCGACTTGATGCCCCGCCTTGCCAGAGAAGCGGGCGGCGTCGCGCGGAGATGACGTCGGCGCTCCGGCGCCGGAAGCTCCCGGGCCAAAAGCTCTATTGGAATCCGGTGGCGGCAGGTTCGACCCCCCAAATGAAGCGGCGGGAGGGAGGGCGGGAGCGAAGCGGAGAGGGAGGGGGAGAGTCGCAGGCCTGGGCTGGAGTTCAGGTTGCTATGGAGACACCCTGCAGCCAGGGGGCGGGGCCAGAAAGGTGGGAAGGAGGGAGGGGCGGGGACAGGTTTTCCCTGGGCCAAAGTGGGGTGGGTGGGTGGGCGATGGGGGCCACTGGGGGGGGGGGCAGGGCGGTAATGGGACGGGGTGCTATTTCTTGCCCCCCCTCCCTCTTTCTCCAGGCCTAAGGAAAGCAATGCCTGCTCAGCCCCAGCTTGGCCCTTTGGAAGCCAAAAGGGGTGGGTGACAGAGTTGGAAGGGACCTTAGAGGTCTTCTAGTCCAACCCCCTGCTCAAGCAATGGGACCCTATCCCATTCCAGGCCAATGGCTGTCCAGTCTCTTATCAGCCTTGATATAAATGTAATGAGACCCAACCAAAAGATAACAATAGAAGAGACCCTTAAGTCACACAGAATGCAGAATAACATGAGTTGGAAGGGACCTTAGAGGTCTTCTAGTCCAACCCCCTGCTCAAGCAAGGGGCCCTATCCCATTCCAGGCAAATGGCTGTCCAGTCTCTTATCAGCCTTGATATAAATGTAATAAGACCCAGCCAAAAGATAACAATAGAAGAGACCCTTAAGTCACACACAGAATGCAGAATAACATGAGTTGGAAGGGACCTTAGAGGTCTTCTAGTACAACCCCCTGCTCAAGCAATGGGACCCTATCCCATTCCAGGCAAATGGCTGTCCAGTCTCTTATCAGCCTTGATATAAATGTAATAAGACCCAGCCAAAAGATAACAATAGAAGAGACCCTTAAGTCACACACAGAATGCAGAATAACATGAGTTGGAAGGGACCTTAGAGGTCTTCTAGTCCAACCCCCTGCTCAAGCAGGAGACCTTATACCCTTTCCAGACAAATGGCTGTCCAGTCTCTTCTTGAAAAGCCTCCAGTGATGGAGCACCCACAACTTCTGGAGGCAGCCAGGGATGGGGGCTCCTGCCCATCAGAGCCACCCCTGTGGGGTAGGATGGGCGGAAGGCAGCTCTGTTTTTTCGTCTAGACAGGAAACCAAACCATCAGGGTCAGCACTTCCTTTATTGTAAGGTGGCCGTAACAGCATTTTGCCAGTCTGAAAGCACTTCTTCCTTCTCTTCCTTTCACTCTCCAGAAAACCCGGGAGGCCCCTTCTGAGTCGCTTCCCACGTCCCCCATTCCTTCTGTGGGCTGACATTTTGCTTATCACTTGCGGCTGTTCCTCCCGTCTCCTGAGGTTCTTCTCACAGCCCATTACAGCTTTCCAGGAATGCTGGAGATATACCTGAACTAGTCCCAGGTAGTCTGTCCCCACGGAATAAGAACTATCTGTCTGAAGTGCATAGCTTGTGGGAAGCAGTTGCCCCCACACTGTGGCAGCAGATATTAAATCTTCATAGGTAGAGGCATGCCGGAAGTCTACATAGATAGGTAGGCTTATGGGAGATATTTGAGGTTTTGTGCTGTAATAGTTGTGTAGAACAAGTTCCTGGAGAAAGTGGGCCGCAATCCAGAACCACTTTTGTGCTTGCATGATGGCCCATGAAACTGGCACCTTTTACGTCATCCCCCTGTTAGGGCTGTTGTCCATTATTTATCTTTACAAAAAAAATCCTTTCATTTTCTCCTATCGGTTTGTTAATTCTTGACAGGTTCCTCCACCTTGCAATAAAATCTCTAGTAAGTGCCTTATATAATGAAACAAAACAAAAAATGACCAGGTCATTTGCATGAGCTGACTTCAGCTTTTAGTATGAGTGATCTGTCCCAGCTCTGGCAGCTTCCAAGAGGAAAAAAGCAAAAAAAAGAAGGGAGGGAGGGAAGGAAGGAAGGAAAGGAAGGAAGGAAGGAAGGAAGGAAGGAGCCTTGTGGGTCTCTGAGGTGCACACAGTGGCCTTGGTTACTAATATGGGTCTTTTGTTATTTGAACAGGAGAAATGGATACAGAGGAAGGTCAGCCCCTGCAGGGTTCCAAGGAGCAGAAGAAGAATTGGCAGCAATCTACTGGGCATCATCCCATCACAGACAACTATCTAAGGTAGATGTAACCTCTTTCCCAAGCTATTCAAAGGCTAAGAGTAAAAACAGCGAGCAGGAAAGGCACAGGAGAAGATTTTTCCATTTACCGGTCCTCTTTAATCCTCTTTGAGTTGTTTGAGCATCAAACTGCCAAACAACTTGTTCCTTTTCCAACTGTGCCCTTGGCAATCTGCAAGGTTGTCTGGGACGCTACACATCCTCTTCGCCACCTGTTTTCCTGGTTACCTTCTGGGAGGAGGGGTCTTCGTGGTATCCAAAGCAGAACATCCGGATTCAGCCACAGTTTTGTTCCGTACAGTATTAACCTTGTGAACTCTCAGGCTTCTTCCTTTTCCCTCTATGTATTCAAGATGGACAGTGATTAAGATGTATATGTATTTATATGTATGTATATGTAAGGGGAGGGAGGGAATATGCATACGTTGTATGTAGCATGTTTATATGTGTGTTATGTATGTGTACGCTTTTGAGAGCAGGCGACAGGATTTCATTTATAACGTGTGCCAGTGTGCCCACCGTAAAAAAATAAATGACAATAAAGGTTATCTCTCTCTTGTTTAAGTCTTCACTGGGACCGGTCCTATTACAGGGAATCCTCGAATTACGACCACGATCGAGCCCCCAAATTTCCCTTCCCAAGGGAGACGGCCGTTCAGTGAGTTTTGCCCCGTTTTACACCCTTTCCCGCCACAGTTGTTGAGGGAATCACTGCAGTTGTTAAGTTAGCAACACGGCTGTTAAACGAATCGGGGTTCCCCCGTTGACTTTGCTTGTCAGAAGGTCGCAAAAGGGGACGGTGTGACACTGATCCCCCCCCAAGACACTGCGACCGTCATAAATAGGAGCCCAGGGTCTGGATTTTGATCACGTGATCACGGGGGTGCTGCGACCGTCTTAAGTGTGAAAAACGATCCTTAAGTCTCTCTTTTCAGTGCCCTTGTAAGTCTGGACGGTCACTAAACGAATGGCTATAAGTTGACGCCCTGTATCAACACAGGGTTGAAATATTATGCGGGCTTTGGGCCGTGGGTGTCTAACGCCCTGTTTTGATGTACCGCAGGTAAATGTTTCCCTTACCTTATGGAGAGGAAGGACTTTGAAGCATGGCTTGAAAACCTCTCCGCCACGTTCCTCTCGCTGACGGACTTGCAGAGAAATGAAGCGTTGGATGACCTGATCTCCTTGAGCGGGGCCGCTCAGCTCAGGCACCTCTCCAACAGCCTGGAGACCCTCCTCAAGCGGGATTTCCTGAAGCTGCTCCCGCTGGAGCTGAGCTTCTACTTGCTGAAATGGCTGGACCCTCAGACCTTACTCACGTGTTGCCTCGTCTCTAAGCAATGGAACAAGGTCATAAGTGCCTGTCTGGAGGTCTGGCAGGCGGCCTGCAGGAACCTGGGCTGGCAGATCGACGACTCTGTTCAGGACGCCCTGCTCTGGAAAAAGGCCTACTTGAAGGCCGTCTTGCGGATGAAGCAGTTGCAGGACCACGAAGCTTTTGAGACCTCCTCCTTGATCGGACACAGTGCCAGGGTGTATGCGCTGTATTATAAAGATGGACTCCTTTGTACAGGTAAGGCAGTCCTGGACCTAAACGGCTGCTGGGAGAGTTGGAGACGGGCGGTGGTGGAAGCATACGTGGTGGTCAAACACTGGACCCCAAAACCAACCCTGTGGCGAGAAAGCTAAATTGAAGCCCTACGGCCAAAACCGTCAGCGCCCAAGACGTTGGTCCTCCCAGTTTGCCGTGCATCAGGTCAGCCCTCCTCTGAGTCCGGCTGGCTCCCCGGTGACTAAAGTAACCTTCCTTTCTTCTCTTTGGGGTGGTAGGTTCAGATGACCTATCGGCCAAGCTGTGGGACGTGAGCACGGGGCAGTGCATCTACGGCATCCAGACCCACACCTGTGCGGCGGTCAAGTTTGACGAGCAGAAGCTGGTCACCGGCTCGTTCGATAACACGGTAGCCTGCTGGGAGTGGAGCTCGGGAGCCAAGACGCAGCATTTCCGAGGCCACACGGGGGCAGGTACGTCGGGTGTTTGAGGAGGGTGTCATGTCACGTGGAGCCGCTTCCTCAAGTTTAGCCATATTTCCGCCTCCCATCTTGCAGACTGCTTAGGACAAAAATACCGATAGGGGGAAATGTTTGTAGCTCAGGATTGAGATGATGGGTCCTTGACTTGGGTTGTTTTCTTCTTTTTTTTTTGCAGATATTTCATCACCAAACTAGATAACAACATCAATGCTAGAAGGGTGTGGGGTTTGCAGAGTTTAGGAGGAGCAGGAGGAGGACCGTGAGGTCTTTGTTGCTCTCTGAGCTTGGTGGTTTCCTTGCAGACGTTTCATGACCCAACTAGGTAACACCATCAGTATTAGAAAGGAGTGTGGTGTGCAGAATGGAGGAGGACTGTGGGGGTCCTTGGTGCTCTCTGAGCTTGGTGGTTTCCTTGCAGACGTTTCATGACCAGACTAGGTAACACCATCAGTGTTAGAAAGGAGTGTGGTGTGCAGAATGGAGGAGGACGGTGGGGGTCCTTGGTGCTCTCTGAGCTTGGTGGGTTTCTTGCAGACGTTTCATGACCCAACTAGGTAACACCATCAGTATTAGAAAGGAATGTGGTGTGCAGAATGGAGGAGGTGGAGGACTGTGGGGGGCCCTTGGTGCTCTCTGAGCTTGGTTGTCTTCTTGCAGACGTTTCATTACCAAACGAGGTCACGTCGTTGGTGCTAATAGGCATAGCACAAATGACATGTAAAATGATGATGTGATCTAGTTTGGAAATGAAATGTCTGCCAAAAAAAACCCCCACCCAGCTCAGAGAGCACCAAGGACCCCTCCTACTGGTATGTTGCTGCCACTCTTCAAATTTCTCTTCCAATTCTGCCTCTTGAAGAGTCTTTGGCACAATCCGTTCTCATCCACAGCTCTCTGGTTACAACTTCCCTCACCCCTGAAACCATGCTTGTTAATATACTGTAGGAACAAATATTTTGCATTGCAAAATTTGTTTGCTCATGTAAGAATAGCTGACAGTTCTTGTAGCTGACCGCTGTCAAAGAATCAGAAGTCTCTGATTTCTCGTAAGTTTTCTTACGAGATTGCTATTTTACCATCCCCGGTCTCTCCCTTGCCAGTCCATGCTTCTCAAGAATGGACTCCAGTCTAAAGAAGCTTAGGACCTAACTTTGCTCATCTGCACAGTATCAAAAAGTTTGCTTGGGCTGCAGTAGAGTTACACACACGGCACTGTCCCTTTTGTAATACAATTCTCTTTTCTCTAGTTTTCAGCGTGGATTACAACGATGATCTGGATATCCTGGTCAGTGGCTCAGCGGATTTCACTGTGAAAGTGTGGGCCTTATCGACAAGCGTCTGCCTCAACACGTTGACTGGACACACGGAGTGGGTCACAAAGGTGAGTAGCTCAGATTTTATTTATTTATTTGTTTATTTATTTATTTATTTATTTATTTATTTATTATTTAAATTTATATACCGCCCTATCTCCCTTACGGGACTCAGGGCGGTGAACAGGCAATAATAAAAATCACAATAAATATTGAATAAAAAGCCTGCTCTAAAATACCCCATATAAAACCCCTAGCAAAGCCCAATCAAAACTACGCCAGGCCGGCCACATGGAATAGATGGGNCCCAGTATTCCCCAGCCAGCGTGGGGATGTCAACTGTCCAGTTGGCGAATCCAGAAAAAAGAACTCCTGGGACATGATTTTACTAAGAGTATAAAACTTTACTCGATATACCACGTTGGCATAGAAGAAGCAAAACCAGCTCTGGGTTTCCCGCACAAAAGCAAGCGTTAATTCCCCCTTTTCCCTCCAGGCCACCCACAGTCCAAAACGTCCACCAATCACTTCTGTTCATTTTGTTATGGGAAACAGCCAGCCACGCCGGGACATCTGCCCGTTGTGTCCTTGAGATGACAGCACTGTCTCACGGAAGCCGACAGATGTTTGAATGCCATTCTCCCACCCCTGCATTCCAGCCACCCCCCTCCCTGTTAGTTGGCTGATAATTCACATCACAGCGCAGATATTGCTCTCCCAAAGGATTAGTGCGTTCAGCAGCCCCGTCTGTTTACAGGTGATATCAGATCTGACTGTCTGAATCGGGCTCAGGAAACGTGATCCGAACGCACCGGAACAAATCTTAACGTGTTACGTTGGCTTGTCTCGTGGGACCTACCTGCAGCCTTTCTGAAATCCACTTTTTTTTTTTTACCTGCAGGTGGTCTTACAAGAGAGTAAAGTCAAATCCCTCATGCACAGCCCTGGCGATTACATTCTTTTAAGTGCGGATAAGTATGAAATCAAGGTACGTCCAGCTTTCGATTGGAAGAAGAGGAAATCAAGTGAAGTTATTACATGGGCTATAGAATTATAGAAATTAATCGTTACGGATCGTTTTTTAAACACTAACCCAGACGACACAATGTTTACCAACTATTAAGGTGTAGGTTAAAAATCAATAAAACATATTTTTTAAAAAAATAAAAATAAAAGGGAGAAGGAAAAAACGAGTTTGCCCTTGGCTGTGAGATGTTTTGCAGCCTAGAAAAGGAGATTGGACACTTGGGAAGGGGAATATAATTATTTCAGTTTAGGTTTTTCAGCGGTGGGCTCACACACTAGGCTGGGGCATTTTCTAAAAAAGTCTATTTGCTAAAGAGAGGTTGTGGGTATTTGGGAAAGGAGTTCCAGGCCCAGAGATGGCAGGAGACAGTCAGGAGTTGAACTTCTAGGTTGCTACGATTTCCTAGTTTTCAAATTTCCCTTCTTTTTTTCTTCTTTTTTTCTTTTGCAGATCTGGCCAATCGGAAGAGAGATCAACTGCAAATGTTTGAAGACCCTGACAGTTTCCGAAGACCGCAGCATCTCTTTGCAGCCTCGACTTCACTTCGACGGGAAGTACATTGTGTGCAGTTCGGCAATCGGATTGTACCAGTGGGACTTCGCCAGCTACGATATCCTCAGGTTAGCCATTCTGAATTTTAAAAAAAAATTATGGAAAAGAGAACCTCGTTGCCAGATGCTCCTTTTGCCCAGAATGCACTGGGCAAGGCCTTGCAGATGCCCCAAAGAAGAAGCTGAGCTGAGGAGCTGAGCTATCTTCTTTCTGGACCAGTAGCTTTTGTAATATCACCTTGGCAAATATTCCTTGGAGGTCCTAAGATGCTTCTGATAGTTGCCGTATCCCGCCTGGAGTGTTCTAAACTGTGGGGTCCTTGGTGGTCTCTAAGCTTGGTTGTTTTCTTGCAGACATTTCTTTACCCAACTAAGTAACATCATCAGGTCTAGAAGGCAGTGGGGTTTGTGGAGAGGATGAGGAAGAGGATTGTGGGTTCCTTGGTGGTCTTAGTAGTTTTCTTGCAGACATTTCATTACCCAACTAGGTAACATCATCAGGGCTAGAAGAGAGTGGAGTTTGTTCCTTTTATGTGCTATTCATTTTCTCTGAATGTAGCTAGGTTTTGTGACCCTGTCTCTAAAATTCGGCAGGCCTTAGTCACCCACTGATGATTTTACCATCGATTGTAATATATTTACCATGTCCTGTTCTGTTCAGTTCTGCTTTATTTTATTTAATGTGTTATTTTGTGTGTGTGTGTGCTGCTCTGTGACTCTAATAAAGATTGATTGACTGGTTGATTGGGTGTTCTTGGTAGTTTCTTGATTAGGGTTACTGCTAGGTGTAAGTAAATGAAAAATTGGACTTTTGTTCTGTTTTCTTTCGGCGTAGGTCTGACACCAATTCTCCTTCCCCAGCGTAATGTTACGCTGCTCCTTTTTTTAACCCCTTTTACCCCTTTCTCATATCCTCCCTGCTGCTCCTCCTTTGCTAGGCACCCATCCCTCTTTCCCCGTGCCAATCCCTTTGTCTGGACATTCCCAAGACTTTCCTCAATTCAGCCAGCATCAGACCGCTGAATTTCGTTCTGAGCCTGTGATGCTCCCGGTGTCATGTGTCTGAGTAACGAAACACTTAAAAGGACTTTCAGGCATGTTTTCTCCTAAAAGCATTTATTAAGATTACAATACGTCAGCACAGCATGGTGGAATGCTTAGGTCTGCTTCTCTTCCGTTATGCATAACATTCCAAGCATTTTCCACTCCCTATTGTAAGGTCATGGTTCACATCTTCCAATCAACTTGGAAGATGTGATTTACTTCCGGTTTCTTTCTCCCGGGCTATCCTTATGCTCCTCCCTCTTTCCCAGTTGCTGGTTTAACTATATATATACCAGACAGTTCTGCACATTGTCAAAGCAAGAATATACAGTATTTGCAGCGTTGACACCCAGCTGCGGCTGGGGAGAAACAGAAAAATTTCCGATCTCCCATTGTCAAGTCATTCTCTCCCCCCCCCCAAATGAGTTATCTCTTATATTTCCATCTGATTTTTTTCTCCCTTTCCTGCAGGGTTATCAAACCACCCGAATTTGCAAACCTGTCCTTGCTGGGCTTTGGTGACATTTTCGCCCTCCTGTTTGATAACCACTACCTGTACATCATGGACGTGAGGACAGAAAGGTTGATCAGCCGTTGGCCGCTGCCGGAATACCGGAAGTCGAAGAGGGGTTCAAGCTTCTTGGCCGGAGAAATGGCTTGGCTGGATGGCTTGGACGGTCAAAACGATCTGGGCTTGGTATTTGCCACCAGCATGCCCGACCACAGTATCCACCTGGTTTTGTGGAAGGAACATGGCTGAACTCAAGCTGACGGACTCCGGGATACGTGGCTTTTTATATATATAAATATAAAAAGATATATATATATAAAAATAAAATAAAAAAGAGAGCGGAGACTGCCAGCAGCGAATCCAAGGGACAATGCTTTGCATGAACCAAAGTTAACACGAGGTTTCCATCCTGCAACGCACAATCGTTTTTACCGTGTTTTTTTTCCAACGCCAGTTTTGAGAGGAGGAGGGGGGGCGGGGAAGACAAACCCAGCCCTCCCCCCCCCACACACACACACAGGAGCCTGTTCAATTTCTTTCTTTTTCTCAGAATGAAGGTTTCCCAGCATCTTGACTGTTTCCAACATTGGCTCATATATGTTAAAAATATATGTGGATATATTTGAACACGACTATATATATATATTCGTGTTCAAATATATCCCATTTGAGCATATTTTGTGACTGGTTTGGGGTTTCTTTCAAGTTGGCAGGGGGAAAAAAACAACAACAACAGTTCAAAACAATGGAAATGGATCTCTTTCTAACCACTCTCTCCCTGTTTGGAGAAAAAAGGAAATTAATCAAATTTGCTTGTTTGTTTTTAAAAAAAACCCTCTTGATTCACCACCATTCTGTAAGATTTGAATACAGCTAGTCCTTGACGCGCAACCACAGCTGAGCCCAACATTTCTGTTGCTAAACTAGACAGTTGTTAAGTACGTTTTGCCCCATTTTGGCTACCTTTCTAGCCACCATTGTTAAGCTGAGTTAGTAAGCCAGTTGTGAAGTGAATCTGCCTTCCCCATTGACTTTGCTTGTCGTAAGGTTGCAAAAGGAGAATCACATGATCCCGGGATGCTGCAACTGTCCTAGGTACAAGCCAGTTGCCAAGAGCCAAGGATTTTTGATCACGTGACCACGGAGAGGTTGCAACGATCGTAAGCGTGAAAAATGGTCCCCAGTCACTTTTTTCCCAATGCCGTTTTAACTTTGAACAAACTGTTGTAAGTCAAGGACCACCAGTACTCCAGAGATCTTGTCCAGTAGGAATTTCCATCAGGAAAAGAAGGTTTGAAGTCAGAAAAAGCAAAGATTACTTGGGTGAAAAGAAGGGTGAGGACAAATTAGAAGGAAGATTCGGAGACTGAGGTCCCAAGGTGACTTTTGAGTGTCGAGTTCATTACCTTAATCCTTCAAAAAAAGGAAAGGAACAACAGTTGTGTAGTGACCGTTTCTTAATCTGTTGTCAGCCATAAGGTATTGATGAGTTTAACTGGATTCTTAAGAAATTCCAGGTTTGAGGGGACGGTAGTTCTTTGCTGTTCTTGGAAGCGAGCTGGGTCAAAATACCCAACCTTTTGGCCAGTGCTAATAAAAGTTTACACGATAATAATTTATTTTATTTTATTTTATTTTAACTGCCTGGTTCCACGCTTGTGGCGATGTGAACTGAACCGGTCTCCAGTTGCTGGGCACGAGAAAAATAAACACCCATCTTTTCTGCCAAGGTTTGTTTCGTTCTTCCAGCTTTTTGAACCGTGCTGAGCTCCACCTTTGGGTCTCCGTGAAAACCGAGACATGAATTCAGTAAAGTTAATGATGGGTGAACAATTGTGTGAACCTCAAATCCATCCAGCAGCGGCTTTGTATTCCAGGAGCAGCTCGCAAGCGTTCTCAGGTTACACGAGCAACGGAGAATGCCGAAAGAAGAAAAAAAAAGCCAAACCCAAATCAAGATTAGGTCGGTCCAGTATGAACCTCTGAGGTGCAAAACTTCGTGAAGATGCAACTACAGCTAGTCCTTGACTTAACAACAGTTCATTTAGTGACTGAAGTTAACAATGGCTCACGGTGAGGAAAACCAATTTGGGGAGCTTGTCAGCATACTAGAAACATGCAGATAATCCTCCAATTACAACAATTTGTTTAGTGACCGAAGTTACAACGGCAGTGAAAAAAAGTGACTTGCGATCTTTTTTTTTTCCACACTTAACCACCATTGCAGCAACTGGTTCATAATTATGACGATTGGGGTATCCTGGGGTCCCGTGATCCCCTTTGGCGATCTTTTGACAAGCAAAGTCAAGGGGGAAGGCCGGTTTCAATTAACAACTTTCTCGCTAACGCAGTGGTTCTCAACCTTTTTAATGCCGCGACCCCAACCGGTCGTAAGTCGAGGACTAAACCGGTCGTAAGTCGAGGACTAAACCGGTTGTAAGTCGAGGACTTTCCCTGCCCGGGAGCACCGCGCATGCGTGGTTCCGCCCCCTGCGCCGGCCGAGGCATAGCTGGCAAGCGGCAGAGACGGAGCAGGCCGACCACCAGCTGGCCCAGCCCAAGGGAGGTAAGGTACCCGCTGGAAAAGGGGAAAAAATGGCGGACAGCCTTGCTTGGCGACCCCCGTGAAATGGTCGATCGACCCCAAATGGGGTCCCGACCCACAGGTTGAGAACCACTGCGCTAACGTAACAACACAAAAGGTTTATGTGAAAGCATGGAAGCTATCCTCTCCTGCTGCTAGGACTGTGAGAAGTCTCACTGTGTAATTGATTACAATTATCAATGTAATGAATCAATTGCAATTGGGCAACGAGGAGGGCATCAACCTTGGCTTGTGAGTGTGATCTGCCTCCTCGTTGTGTTCCCCCCCTTCAGTTAAATCCAAATATCCTTTTTGAGCTCGGGCAATGCAAAAAAAAAAAAAGTCACCACGTCACGTGACGCGGCGAGTTTGACCCCCATGTTCTAGATTGACTGCTTGGAACCCGTTCAGCCCTAAGTATTCTAATTGTTGGAGTCATTTTGCGATAACACAATAGTTTCAGACTCTTGACAAAATCTGTGTCAACCATCAGATTCTCATCGCCACTCCTGGCTGACTCACTGTAAGTAACGTTTTTAACGCAAAGTGTCCTTTCCAAACTGGGTGGAAAGAGTTGTTTACAGGAAATCTTGGGAGGTGGTTCTTAATTCTTCTTAATTCTTAAGTTACAATCTGAGTTCAACCGGTTTCTTAGTTTTGTGACAAACCGCATCTTGGAAGGTGCCGGGAAGCCATAATTAAATGAGAACCTCTGAAACCAAGTTTGAGGATGCTGCCAAGGATGAAGGATGTATGGACAGGTGGAAACATTGCTCAATGCAGTAGTGAATGAAACTATGAGTGTACATGTGTTGCAAGCATAAACATGGAACTCGCTGTGTTTAGGGAAGCGGTCTAGCAAGGCTAAACTCTGCAGATCAAATCTATGATTGCATACTACTTTGAAACATAACCGAAGGAAATGCTGGAGAACTGGTGGATGTCTTATCCGGTTACAATTAAGGCCTTCACAATCCTTCCGTCATGATTTGAATTGCAGTCTCTCCGGTGACATGCACCCACATGTCGAATGGGCATGGATTTCATGCACCACAGACATGAAAACATGGGCAAGATTTCCATTGCCCACAATACCTATTCCTCCCTCAATCTCTTCTACATACTAAAGCTTCAATTACAGCATTGAGTAATCACCACCCTGTTAAAAGAATGTGTAAAATTTATTCTCGGCCCACACAGGTATGGAGGTAAGATTCCCCTGGTTCCTTTTTTTTTTTTTAAAGAGTTATTTTTTTCCTCTGCTTCCCTGAAAAGTTCCTGCTATCAAAGACAGGATGGTTGTTTTTTTGGGGGGGGGAAGGCATCTTGACATCAGAGTTACAATAATTTGTGTTCGATAAGTTCTGTTGAAAAACACAAGGGATCGTCCAAGTAATTTATGGCCATCCAAACGGAAGCTATTTCTGTGAAAAACAGGTTTCTTGAAGAACAAGTTACATTAACCTTATCAAAATTTAATATCAAGCTCATCCCATTCCGAAATAATTAACATTTTCTTGACAGTTCGTTCTTCACAAAGGAAGAAATAGCCACCATTTTGTTACAGGCATAATCCTAAAGTTGCTTTCAATTAAAAATCTCAGGTGGGTTTCCCTTTTTTTTGTCCCAAAGTGCTTTTTCCAAGGCCAACTGGTCTTTGTTTTTCTTTGAAGACTGTGAAACTGCCTTAAATGACTAAACTTAAGTTTTTAAGCAATATAAATTTAGCTTAATCGATGTGTTTCATTGTAGAAACTATGACACACATAGGACTATCGTACAATAAAATGATGGATAATTTTCTGGGGATTGCAGTATCCACCTAAAATTATCTAAATTCAATTATTATTATTTTTTTAGAGTTACATTCATTCATTGTTGCTAGCTATCATAGGTTAAAATTTAGTTCTGGATGATGTTAACAACCAGTACAATTTATTAAAACTTCCCCAAAAAAGTGTTCTCGGGGCGCACTCCGGACAAAAGACAAATGACGTTTCTGAGTTAATCCTCTTTTAATTAAACAGCAAATAAAGCAACTCAGTTTTCTGCAATGCCAGGATGTAAGAGAAACTAAATTATACATTTAATCTCTCTGATTTTTTTTTCTAAAGGGGCAAATGACACACATAGGCTGGGTGAAGGGAAACACTTCCTGGTTCAGCAATTTTGCTCGAGTGAAAAACCAAAACTTTTAAAAGATTTTTCCAAGGCTTTCCCAGAACATGCTCCAAATGGCCTTGGGGATGCTATCGACTCGTTTGCCGAGAACTTGGTCGAAAACTTGATTAACGTTGCTAATCAGTGATACGTTGAACCTCCAAATGGTTGTGTCCCTCATGAGATATTGTTCCCCAAATTCATTTTCAAGGTGTCTCCTGCAGTTGTAAAGGATTGCGACGTCCCTGGAGACTTCGAGCGTTCGACCGTATCCTTTAAGAATGGAATGGCTGGAGGCCTGGACCACGCTCCTTGGGTTTACAATCATTTTCTTCAAAATATTGATATGCAGTTTGTTGGGCTCTCGATAAACGTGTTGCAATACGTTAACTCCGGGGATGGCTTCCCAGAGAGTGACGTTGAATTTGTCCAAAGACAAAAAAACATTCTGAGAAAAAAAGTGACTTTCGAAAAAGAAGATCCCGACGCCTGGATGCTGATCCTCAAGGCTATCGATCATCCCTTTCCAGTTTGGGTGTTTTAGGGGAAGGATAATTTCGTTGATATCGTTAAAAACCACGTATTTGCTTCTGTACATGTTACGGTAAATGCAGTCATTTAAAATGGTGGTTTTCCCATAGCCCCAGTCTTGGTAAGAATACCAAAAAGAAGACAAACGCACATAGGAAGTAATTGGCCAAAGTATGATCTCCACCGTGCCTTCTTGAACATAAAAGTTTAAAATCCGGTCCATGAGCGAGGTGCAGCTCATTTTGTAGATAAAGACTTTCTTGGCCCCGAGGGTTTTGTACATTTCCACGCTCTGCACAAACTGTAGGACATTGTCGTAATTCTCGGGCATGACAGACAGGCAGACGGTGTATTCCCTCACGAACCAAGTCCTGGAAACCCGGTTGTTGATTTCAAACCACGGGAGCTCAGCCATGGATCCCCTAGTGGACGGGTGAATGGACATATACTGGGGCAAGCAACGTTGGGGTTCCAAACACACAATATCTGCCGCCCCAACCGGGAGCCCAAACCTCTCCGGGTGGATGTCAACGCTGGCCCGAATGATAGAAATGCGATTGTCGTGACTGCAGCAAAACCAGCAATAAAGGTCTTGGATTTTTTTGTAATGGACCACTGCAATTGCCCGGGTGAGGTTCTGTTGACGGTCATCGTGGTACAACGAAACGACAAAGGTTTTGTTGTGTTTTAAGGCGGTGATGGTGTCCTTGACCAGCTCACCTCTGCAAGGGCCCAAGGAGAGCTTGGTTTGGGAGGCTTGGGACGATGGCCTTCTGGGGTACATTTCAAAGAGCAGAAGAATTAAGAAAGGGATGACCATCCAAAGCATCTTGCTCTTAAAGCGAGGCATCGTATTCCTTTGAGGTTGCTACAAAATACATACATTAGACAAGGGAGAGGAGTAAGTAGAAATAACATCATTCCTCCTTAACAAATGGCTCCCTCTTAAAAGGAATAGTTTTTAAGAGAAATCTCTTGAACCCTCTGTATTTATTTATTTATTTATTTTTGTCATGTTTATGTAGTGTCTATCGGAGGTGGTGACCCTCTGAGAGCTGAACGCAATGAAATTTCATTTTAATGTATGCCGATTCGTGTACATTCAAAGTGACAATAAAGTTATTATTCTATTCTATTCTATTCTATTCCTTATTCTCTTCTCTTCTATTCTATTCCTTATTCTCTTCTCTTCTCTTCTCTTCTATTCTCTTCTATTCTCTTCTATTCCTTATTCTCTTCTATTCCTTATTCTATTCATTTAATATTCTATTCTATTCTATTCTATTCTATTCCTTATTCTCTTCTCTTCTCTTCTCTTCTATTCCTTATTCTATTCTATTCCTTATTCTTGCAGAGGATACAACAGCGATTGGCCTCATTCGAGACAACAACGAATCGGCATTCAGACGGGAGGTTGAACAACTAGTCTTGTGGTGCGGCCGGAACAATCTTGAACTGCACACACTCAAAAAACTGTAGAAATGACAGCAGACTTTAGGAGAAACCCTACTATTCTACCACCTTTTGCAACACTAGACAACACAGCATCAACAGTAGAGACCTTCCAGTTTCTAGCTTCTATAATATCTCAAGATTTAAAACGGACACCTAACATCAAAAATGTCATCAAAAAAAAAAAAGCACAACAAAGAACGTTCTTCCTGCGCCAACTCAGAAGCTCAGACTGCCCCAGGAGTTCAACAAAACAATTATTGTGTCTGTCATTTGCAGCTCTATAAACTGTCTGGTTTGGATCTGCAAACAAACAAAGACACAGACTTCAACGGAGAGTTAGGACTGCAGAAAAAAACAAGTGCTACCAGCCTGCCTTCCCATGAGGACTTGTATACTGCACAAGCCAGCAGTATATCTACCTCCTGGACATCAACAATTTCAACTTCTCCCCTCCAGATGATGCTAAATGTTGTGTCCTGAGCTGCAGGCTCAGAAATGTTGCAAACGGTCCCAGGCAGACCAAAAGCTGCCCGGGACCAGACTGGCTGTCGTCAGCCTTGCGCCCACACGCAAGGCGCGAAAACAGCCAGATTTCTATTGGCTGACACTGTCTGGGTTTTGGACATTATAAAAGGCCTGCGTGCCTTTTTGTTGTTGCTGGTTGTAAGAAGAGAACAATAAAAGAAGCTTGTTTGTTACACCATGTAACCTGCAAACACAACACTATAGGTGCTCTACACCAGAACGACTGGACACAAGGACAGTTTTTTTCCCCCCATGCCGTCACTCTACTTAACAACTAATTCCTACAACCCTGTCAAAATAGTAAAACTGTATTACTATGATATTCCTCAGCTTTCCTATTACCTCTCCTTATCTTCTTATGACTATAACTTTGCAGCTTGTATCTTACAATTTATATTGGGGTTTGTTTGTTTTTTTGTACCCTAGTATGATTTATGTTGTTTGCTTAGCTAGTACTCCGTGACTATCACTAAGTGTTGCATCCTGTGATTTATGATGAAGTGTTGTATTTCACCATTTATGATGAATGTATTTTCATGTTGTATAATGTATATGATCATGATTATCACTATTACTTGTCTGTACACTGAGAGCTTATGCACTGGAAACAAATTCCTTGTGTGTCCAACCATATTCTATATTCTATTTTATATCCATATCTCTCTTAATGTGTATACACACACACACACACACACACATATATATACATACACATACATATATATATATATAAATCTATTATTGATATCTATTATATATCATTTATATTGATATGATAGATAGATAGATAGATAGATAGATAGATAGATAGATAGATAGATGATATAAATGTAGCTGAAATTAATATAGTTTTATATATATATATACTATATTAATTTCAGCTATATTTATATAATTAAATATCCATTATCAATAACTCTCCAATTCTCATCTACATATATTTATATCTAATATAGATATACATTATCTGTACGCATTATTATATCTATCAATGTCAATATCAGCTATATTATCACGGAAAAACTGATATTTCCCTGCCATTAAAGGCTATTTTTTTAAAAAAAAAATAAATAGGAGAGCAAAACAAACCTAAAATCCTCACCTCAAGGATTTCCTCAGGAGGCTGAAGAAAAATGCTATTTTTCTCCCCTCGAAAGAAAAAGAAAGGAAGAAAGAAATAGAGTTAAGCCCTGGAGAGTTATATGAGGAAAGGAGGGAGAGAGAGGACTAAAAATGTATATAAAAATTCCCGCCTTTTCCTCTCCTCTTGGAATGGCTGCTAATAAACTGCTCAAAATGGTGGAAAGTGGTGCCTCGTTGTTCCTCCTCCTCCTCCTCCTCCTCTTTTTCCATCTTGAGGGTGGAAGAAGTGCTATAATCATGTAAACTTAAAAAGGCCCTCTCTTCCAAATGAACTAATCTATCTATCTATCTATCTATCTATCTATCTATCTATCTATCTTATCCCTTGTCTCTTGTTTATCTTATCTCTTGTCTATATTTGTGTATCTATATTTATTTCTTTATTTCTATTTCTCTCTACTTGTATCTATCTATATTTATTTATCTCTATGTTTATCTCTATGTATCTATTTCTCTCTCTATCTCTCTATTTATATCTCTCTCTATCCTCTAGCTATTTATCTTATCCCTTGTCTCTTGTTTATCTTATCTCTTGTCTATATGTATCTATATTTATTTCTTTATTTCTATTTCTCTCTATTTGTATCTATTTTATTTATCTTTATGTTTATCTTTATGTATCTATCTATCTATCTATCTATCTATCTATCTATCTATCTATCTATCATCTAGCTATTTATCTTATCCTTTGTCTTTTGTTTATCTTATCTCTTGTCTATTTTTATGTATATATTTATTTCTTTATTTCTATTTCTATTTGCATCTATTTTATTTATCTTTATGTTTATATCTATCTATCTATCTATCTATCTATCTATCTATCATCTAGCTATTTATCTTATCCTTTGTCTTTTGTTTATCTTATCTCTTGTCTATTTTTATGTATATATTTATTTCTTTATTTCTATTTCTATTTGCATCTATTTTATTTATCTTTATGTTTATATCTATCTATCTATCTATCTATCTATCTATCTATCTATCTATCTATCTATCTATCTATCTATCTATCTATCTATCTATCTATCATCTAGTTATTTATCTTATCCCTTGTCTCTTATCTTATCTCTTGTCTATTTTTATGTATCTATATTTATTTCTATTTCTCTCCATTTGCATCTATTTTATTTATCTTTATGTTTATCTCTATCTATCGATCGATCGATCGTCTAATCTATCTTTTTAATTAGATTTATACAACCACCTAATTAAAAAACTATTCCGGGCAGCCTTACAAATCTAATGGAATAATAATGGCTGTGGACTCCTAAGTACATCTGCCATTGTTAGAAGTCCATTCAGATACCACCAAACATCTTGCTATCCTGGTTGAGATTCCTAGCTTGCATACAACAGCTTGGAGCAAAACTGGGCTTGTGACTTATGCCCAAAATATCATTTTTGCTAGCAGAAAATGTGACATGTCAGCCTGGGTGCAGCTGAGACGGGTGAGCGAGTCTCCACCTTCCTAAAAGTATCTCATGGCTACAGTTCTGAAAGATCAAACTCACAGCAGATAGAAAATGGAAAATAACTGAAAATGGAAAATAACTGAAAATGGAAAATAACTGAAACTCAATAAGCATCTCCGATTACAAAATTACAAATTCAGGAGTTCTTCCTGAATTCTCATTTCGATATCTGCCAACTTCCCCATCCAGTTTCTGTATGGGCAGGGAGGGCCAATGCATTGTGATTATGAAAAGGGAAAGAATAAAAAAAGTGTTTTGGCATGCTAAAATGTGGGCAGCACATTTCAGGATTGTCACAGCTTAACAAAAAAAAAAAAAAACAGCTTGGGCTGCAAAGCGTAACGCAGACCGGAAATATCTCACAGAAAAAGCAATGAAGCAAGACATGGCAACGTTCAAACAAGGGTTGCATTACCTTGAGATGTGCATCTAGATATACATAATGGGTTTTACCTCAATTAAAACTTAATGTGCTTTTCTAAGGCAATCTCTTATGGCCCCTGTTTAAAATCGATATTCAGAATAGCAACAATTGCAGTCTTACTCCGGTTGCGTGTTGTTTTGGCTGCAGCAGCAGCCCTGTGGAGGTGCAAAATTGTGGCAAAGGAGACAGGAAAAGACACCACAAAATAGTTGTCAAGAATCTGCCTCGGCGAATTTACTGTCCTTCAAAGTTCCCCATGTGCACAACTCTTTGGAAAGATAGCTTTTCATCCATTTAACGGACGTCCATGAACTTCATTATGTTCATTGTGATATCAGCCTCGTAGCCCCCTTTTCAATAATGCGAGTTTTTCAACTGTTGGCACAGATGAACAAAGATATTTACCTACATTACAGAATCATAGAATTTTGCCCTGAGTACATTGAAATATTTTTTTTTCAGGGGAAGTATAAGGCAGACCTTCCATTTTTTATATATATATCATTAAGTCCTGTGTTATACCTGCTAATGGGTTTTATCTCAAGGCTTAATAAGCAGTTGTCATGGAGGTCATCCATCTATAGATAACTACAGATTCATGGTTGAACCCACAATTTGTTTCCTATTTATTTCTCCCTCGGGCTTCCCATTTTTCAATCAAATGCAGATTGGTTATTAGGAAACATGTCTTCTTTCTCCCTGATTGATAAGCTTAACTACCTTAAACATTGGTCCCAACGATTCAAGTTGACAGACTGCAGAAAAACATTGTTCCACCCCAGCAGCGAAAGTCTATAAATAAAAGGAATCCATAATAAATAAAGAGAGTGCTACAGCACGAGAGCACAATAAACCTTATGGGGAAAACTAACCCACCAACCGAGCTATGTTTGTTTAAAGTTCACAGTTACAACGGGATTGGAAAAAAAACCGTTTTTCACACTTTGCGGCATTCCCCCCTGGTCATGTGATCAAAATTCAGACACTTGGCAACTGGCATGTACCCTTGACGGTTGCAGCGTCCCGGGGGTCACGTGATCCCCTTTTGGGACCCTCTGACAAGCAAAGTCAAGGGGGAAAGCCAGATTCATTTCACAACCCTACGAGTAACTTAATTACAGTGATCAGCGATGATCAACGGTGGCAGGAAAGGTCGTAAAATGGGGCCAACAAATGTTTCACTTAACGGCAAAAATGTGGGGCTCAATTGTGGCCATCAGTCTTTCCCATGAAAAACGGCTTAAAATTAGTGTGCTGTGCACCAAAATGAGCATTTTTCCCCCTGAAGTAGTGTCAAAATTGAGAGGTAGATCGTGCATTCAATTGAGGAGTGTGTGTGCATGCATGTGTGTATGTTGGAGAGAGACTCACCTAGCCAGGGGGAGGGTCAAGCAGGGAATTAGTCTGGAATCCTACATGGACACTATCCACTTTTCATGTCTAAATCTGGTTGTTCGCCCTTGAAAATATAGATGTGAGTGTACACACACACACACACACACACACACACGTGCTATTTACGAAGGCATCAATTTTTTTGGTTTTGAGCTGTGTCACTGGCTCCTAAAACACCGGCTTCAAGCAAGACATCGCTCACTTTTGGAATCAAAGTTTTGTTGTAACTCCAGAATATTGGGTCCCGAATCAAATCACTATCGGCCACATTAATACGTTCGGGGATCCTGCAATGGAAGTTAAAGGCGATATGATTTGAAACTTGAACGGAGGCTCCAAGCTGCTTGAGAGGAGAATGGACTGAGGTCTGAATGACTGTAGTTGGATCCAGAATCATTTTCATGTTGTTGAAATTGCGAATGTCTTTGGGTTCCCTGTGGATATGTTCAAAGACATTAATTCCTGGCACCGTTGTCCAGGCCAAGAAGTTGAAGGGAGTCTTGGAGAACACCGTCCGACGGAAGACCCGGTTTTCAAAGAGGAAAACCCCAGTTCCTGGATATTCCTTTTCCAATCTTTGCATGAGGGACTTCCAGTCAGCATCCATCCTGGGGAGAATGAATTCATCGGGATCAATAAGCAGAAGATATTTGCTTTTATACATGTTATAGTAAATACAGTCGTTCAAGGCCGTTAGTTGCCCGTAGTAGCCAAGATCTTTCTTTTCCATGGAGTAATGCCAATGCGACGATACGTTCAGGTACAAATGGATGGGCCAGGGAATAATTTCCACGATGCCTTTGGAGATATAATAATCTAGGACTTTGTCCATGAGCGGGCTGCAACTGTTCTTGTAAATTGTCACCTTTTGGACCCCCAGGAGACTGTACAGCTCCATGGACTGTACAAACTGCAAGACGTTATCGTAGTTCCCAAACATGGTCGACATGCAGATGGTGAAGTCCAGAGAGGGCATCTCCGGGTGGATGTTCCGGATGGGAAATAGGGGCAGGTGGGTTGACTCCAACTCAGCGGAGGGGTGAACAGAGATGAACTTAGCATGGCAGTCTTCTGGCTGAAGGCACAACACATCTGCTGTGCTGTACGGGAAGTCAAAACGGTCTCGGTGGAGATCAATCTCTCCTTTTACCACCCGAATCGCCTGGCTCTTTTCACAGCAAAAGCTGCAGTAAAGTTCCTGGACTTTTTGATGGTGGATAATGCTCAGAACACGGACGAGGTTCCCCTCTCGTTTGTCGAAATAAGGGGTGACGATAAAGCTGTGTTGATCCCGGAGTGGGGTGATTGTACCGTCAGCTAACCGGCCTTTGCAAAAAGGAGTGGGAAGTTTCTTTCGGTTAGCATTTGGACTCCAGCTTCTGTTCTTCTTCCAATAATATGACACAACGCACAACATAAGGAGGAAAAGGAAGACGAACATTCGAGGGGGCGAGCTATTTCTTCTCCCACAGATTGCCATTCCCGAAGCTCCTGCCGTTCTTTGATTTGGTCTAATAAGAAGAGAAGGAGGGAGGGGAAACAGGATGAGATGCAGCCATGCTACTGTTTGTTTTGCAAGACAAATTCTAATGTTTTGAGGAAGTTCTTCTTCCTTGATTGACATTTCTTGCAGACAGCTCCACACACACATTTGCACTACTCAGGTGACCCTGAGGACACAGATAAACCTCCAGGTGGCCTCAACAACTCTCTAAAAGGGCAAATGACCAGCTTATCTGCAAGGAATATAAATCCTTCCATTCCCCCTACCATCCAATCAGAGCTGAAGAAGCTTCTTGGATGAGAAGCGAAACGTCTTCAAAGAAAAACAAGAAAGTCCAGTTGCCTCTTGAAAAAACACCTTTGGGATAACCACAAACTGGAGGACTGAGAATCTCCATGGACATTAAGATCTATTCGTACGTTACGATTAAGAGTAACTAAACCCCCAGTTTAATTTCTATAATCCGATGGATAAATTTAAGCTGAACCTAAAATTAACAACAGCAATGAAAGCAATGATGGCATTTTATAAGTTGCTATCGATAACCACCCTATTTTAAACGCACTTACCTACGTAGTCCTTATTTATTTTTTTTAACCTCACTGGCCGATTTTTGGCACAATGCTAGATTGTGGCTGGAGGCCAGCTGAAATCTGAGGTCCCCCAGTCCCAACTTCTCAACTTCTTCTAAGGAAACAAATCTTCTTGACTCACGCTTTTTGATTGAGGGGAACCTCCCACCTTGCCCTCAACGTCATGTCAGTTGCTAGGATGCCCTCCGAAGTAATATATTGAATTTCAGCTTTACAAAGGAGCCAAATCTTATTTAGCCTAACCATTGTAGAAGGGCTAAACAGACTTTTCTTCAGAATGTACCTCCCAGTGGGGAACAGTCTGTAGACACCGTGAGAATTTCTAAGGATAGTTCATCTTCCTCTAATTTAGTGTCTACCCAGGCCATCCCATAACATAGAAAACCTCCTGTAATTTTTCATCTATTTAACAGAATTACAGAGTTGGAAGAGAATTTGGAGGTCATCTAGTCCAACGCTCTGCTCAAGCAGGAGATCCTTTACGATTCCAGACAAATGGTTGCCCAATCTCTTCTTTAAAACTTCCAGTGTTGGAGAGCATTCACAACTTCTGGAGGTAAGCCACTCCACGAATTAATTCTTCTCATTGACAGGAAGTTTCTCCTTAGTTCTAGGTTGCTGCTCTCCTTGACAAGTTTCCATCCGTTGCTTCTTGTCCTGCCTTCAGGCGCTTTGGAGAATAGGTTGACCCCTTCTTCTTCAGATATTGGCAGGCTGCTATCATGTTACCCTTAGTCCTTCTTCTCACTAGACTAGACATACCCAATTCCTGCAACCATTGTGGATTAAGAATTGAGATTTAACGGCTGTGCTCCCACCTCAGACTCAATCCACAATGAATTATTCTTTAACGGTGGTTTAATTTGTAGTACCCTAGAGAGGTCTTCTAACCCAGGGCTCTTCAAACTTGGCACTTTTAAGACTTGTGGACTTCAACTATCATCATGGCTGGTTGAGGGATTCTGGGAGTTGAAGCCCACGGGTCTTAAAAGTTGCTAAGTTTGTTAGACCCCTGTTCCAGCCCAACCTTTCCCTAACTCTTCTCTGTTTCTCACACCGAAAGAAAAAGAGACACATCAACCTATCCCAAAGGCCGGTAGTACCTTTTCAGAGTAACCGCAGCTCACTTCATCCGACACAACCGGCGCTTCATTGTGTCCAATAAATGCAGCAACATCGACAAAAACCAGCCCAGCGTTAAAAGCAGCTCTTTCTCCGCTGTGCGTTTTTCTTTCGCTGTGGACGTTTTTCGCTCTTTGTGGCTCTTACAGCCAGAGCTTAAAGCTGTTGCCCAAATGAGGAACCTTTTTCCCGTGCCAAATGAACACTTATTCGCTTATTTGAACTATTTCTACACTCTGTAAAAAAAAAAAAAACCCACTCACAGCCCTCGGCAACCTTGAAAACAGGCGGGGGAAGCTAGCAAAATCCACAACCGCTCTCGTTAAGAGTGTTTCTGCTCAGCAGGTTTCAACCTCCATCTCTGCCATCTATCATCTGTTTCGCTTGTTGTTAGGATGCATTTTAGCATTTATAAAAAACAAATCCGCTGAGCTCAGAGGAAACTAGACTAGAAGAACGGCTGCCAAGAAAGCAATGCAGCTTTGTGGCTGGGTCAGTCTTCTCATTTTTGATTTCATCCACCAGTTTCAAAGCGAAGGGTCTAACACAGTGGTTCTCAACCTTTTTAATGCCGTGACCCCAACCGGTCGTACGTCGAGGACTAAACCGGTCGTAAGTCGAGGACTAAACCGGTCGTAAGTCGAGGAC